TCACATTCGTCACGCGTGAGATAAGAAAGAGATAAAATAATCTATTGATAAAATCACAACTGAGAAGAAATAAACTTCATGATAGCAATGTCACAAAACCTGCAGAATCTTCACCTCTGTGAACAAATACTATTCCAACAAAAAGATTGATAGCTCCCTCGTCTGAATTTAAAAATGCAGTGCTATTTAATTTTATCTACGTTTGAAAATTTTTGTAACAAAATACCATAATAAATGTTTTATACGTATGCTTTCACAACCAATAAATATATAATTTTTTAAACTGACATTGTACCTACACGATCTAACCCAAAAGAAGCGAATTATAAATCATAAATAGATGGCTAATATGGACGGGGCACCTTCATTCAGCAGTAAATGTAAGTGATTAATAAGTAATAATATAATACAGACATAATATTACATTCAATATAGGAATTTTGTTTAAAGCTCTTTCTAGTGTGTTTTCATATCCCAATTCAACCCCATCAGTCTGTACACGTTGGTTATATTGAAATGTCTTCTTGGTTCTTTCGGTAAAGTCACTTTACCGAAAGAACCAAGAAGGTGAATCCCTGCAGTCACGAAAGCTTTAAATCGAAATATATTGAAATGATTCGAAAGCCTTTGTAACCATGAAAACTATGCGAAATGTGCAGTCAGATTTGTCAATCCACTGCTGGATGAAGGCCTCCCAACGCGTTGTGAGCTGGGAGGATTATTTAACCGCACTACACCAAGCAGGTCAGTGTATATTGATGAGAGTGTGATGAGGAGGAGTACAATAAGATCATGAAAAACTTCACTCTGTCGCTCCATCAAGATCTAAAAGACCCCCCCACGCCCAAGGCTAAAATCGAAGAAACCGTCCTGGATGAGCGCCTCGGCCCTAGCAGCCGAAAATAAAAACACCGCCACTCGGTGGTCTGAATCATGGGCGGAAATGGACGTGGCATACAGAAACATAATTCACGATCCGACGGTGGTAGTACCGGGATTCTCTCTTCCAAGACGACCATGGACTACGCTGAACCGCGCTGGAACACAACACGGCAGATGCGTCTACACGTTTCATAAATGGGAAATCATAGAATCACCCAATTGCAACTGTGGAGAAGTCCAAACCATCAAGCACATCACCGATGAATGCTCCACCATTGCACATCCTGGCGGTATCGCTGAAATCCGCACATCCTTTGACTGAATGAGGAACCTTTGCATTCATTTATGACGATCATTGAGAAAAAAATTAAAACTGTTGCTTTTCACAATGCCATACGAAAGAAAATTAAAACGGGCAGCTTGGAAAGAGTAGGCCAAAAACTCCAAAAGGGGTGACTCTCTAGAGCTCTCTCCAGAGGAGATCCTTCTACCAGCAAGCCATTTCAGGGCTGCACATTTACACTTTTAGTTAGGTCATTTGTGTGGCACTACCGGGTTTGTTGGGTTCATTCGCGCACGTTTCGCACGTAAGTTGTAGGGTGGAGTTTTTTTTTTATGATGCTAGGAACATCTTGGTATCAAATCACTTAGTGGGTTGTTGCACTCAGTGGCCAAAAAAAGCTATAATAAAGTACTAATTTAAATTGTGGAGGGATTTTTTTCCCCCCACCCCCGTGTCATAGTCCAAATGTTATCTCTAGCTATCTCAGAGATATTAGCCATTAACAGCGTGCTCGAGAAGGCGTGAATTAGGGCAACACAGGCACGGGGTCAATGGCATCAAACTGGTTAAGGGATGCTGGAATGAGTTTTCACCCATTCCTCAAATTAGTTATTTTTTAATGCTTCTCGATTAAACCAAAGCTATATTTTGTTGTGTGAAATCTATCTAAATCACATTTTAGAAACATAAATTTGGACGATTTTGCTGCTCTAAATTTCCACTTGAAAAGCCACTTTCTTGAGCCATTATTTGTGGTCAGGATTGCTTCTGAGAAATAAGTTAACAGCTTAATGGGCTTTACCTGGTAAAATAACCAAAAATTGTTTTTCATTCATACGCTGTCTTTTCGACAGACCTGTTCTTCACCTGAGGACGGCTGCTTGCGTTGTGGCCGAAACGTCGTGAGAATAATTTTATTATGTTTTATTTTTATTATTTCCCTTCTACGTGACTTTACCGAAAAAACCAAGAAGATAACCAAAAATTGTTTAGTTTTACTTGTATACATTTGTAGTGACTAACTCGTTGGCAGTTATACTTGGAGACACTTATTTTATTTAACGAACACCATAGGGATAATACACAACTCTACGTAGGTACACACTATTACTGTTGCTACCCTATACACAACACTACGTGGGTACACACTATTACTGTTGCTACCCTATATACAACACTACGTAGGTACACACTATTACTGTTGCTACCCTATACACAACACTACGTAGGTACACACTTTTACTGTTGCCACCCTATACACAATACTACGTGGGTCCACACTATTACTGTTGCTACCCTATACACAACTCTACGTGGGTACACACTATTACTGTTGCTACCCTATATACAACACTACGTAGGTACACACTATTACTGTTGCTACCCTATACACAACACTACGTGGGTACACACTATCACTGTTGCTACCCTATACACAACACTAGGTGGGTACACACTTTTACTGTTGCTACCCTATACACAACACTACGTGGGTACACACTTTTACTGTTGCTACCCTATACACAACACTACGAAGGTACACACTATTTCTGTTGCTACCCTATATAGAACACTACGTGGGTCCACACTTTTACTGTTGCAACCCTATACACAACACTACATAGGTACACACTTTTACTGTTTCTACCCTATACACAACACTACGTGGGTATACACTTTTACTGTTGCTACCCTATACATAACTCTACGTAGGTACACACTATTACTGTTGCTACCCTATATACAACACCACGTGGTACACACCATTACTGTTGCTACCCTACACACAACACCACGTGGGTACCCTATACATAACTCTACGTAGGTACACACTATTACTGTTGCTACCCTATATACAACACCACGTGGTACACACCATTACTGTTGCTACCCTACACACAATACCACGTGGGTACACACTTTTACTGTTGCTACCCTATACACAACACTAACCGTCTAACACTGACGGCGCTAAACCGAAACAGTGAAGACGACAGCTAAGATGGCGACGTGATCCCACTCTAGCAACTGCCCCAAGGTCCCCCACAGGGAGGCCCTCTTATACCCCAAGCGTGGTAATATGACAAATCGCTCACCCTAAACACCCGGTCGTTCATAAAAGTTGAGGGCAGTATAGTACTATGGTAATAGAGCAAGTGCAGAATCACTGAACCAGAATTGACAGCTTGAAAGCATTTAGCGCGGGGCCCTTGAAAGTGCGGGGCCCGTAGCTACACGTGTAGCTACTACTACATGTGTAGCTACTAAATATGTAGCTACATGTGTAGCTACTACTACACGTGTAGCTACTACTACATGTGTAGCTACTTTTGCTCCTAGGATAATCCAGCGCTTGGTGGTGCTGGGTGGATTGTTGCACCACAGGATCGTAAGATATGGCAGCGGATTAGGGAAGCTTTCGTCCAACAGTGGCCCAGGTTCTCGGTGTGCCCCTTCTGTGATCTTTCCCCTAAATCCCCATCTCGTGTATATCCTGGCCTGCTGACGTCAGGACTGCTGTACGCCGCAGATGCCCTTTTTCGCCAGCAGCCAGCGCTATGCCACTACACATTTTTTTCAAGTGATTTGTTTACTTTTCCTATACTTTGCACTTCTTATCGTATTTTTTTGTATTGTTTGTTGTTGTAACGTTCTGTGACCCGCACCCGACTGGAGATCCGTGACAGGAAGCTTTACAGCTCATCTGATTTCTCCAGTATAAATACAGATTCGTCCGTTCGTTGCTCAATCCGCTTGTCCTGGGAAGGATTGCGGGGGCAGCGTGTTGAGTAGGCCGGTCCAGACCTCCCTTTCCCTGGCAACGGACTCTAGCTGTACATTACTATACACTACACTATACACTACACTATACACTATGACACTATACACTACTATACACTACATTATATACTACTATACACTAGACTATACACTACTATACACTACACTATACACTATGACACTATACACTACTATACACTACACTATACACTACTATACACTACACTATATACTACTATACACTACACTATACACTACTATAGACTACTATACACACTACATTATACACTACTATACACTACATTATACACGACTATACACTGCACTATACACTACTATACACTACATTATACACGAATATACACTACACTATACACTACTATACACTACACTATATACTACTATACACTACACTATACACTACTATAGACTACTATACACACTACATTATACACTACTATACACTACATTATACACGACTATACACTACACTATACACTACTATACACTACACTATACACGAATATACACTACACTATACACTACTATACACGAATATACACTACACACTACACTACATTATACACGACTATACACTACACTATACACTACTATACACGAATATACACTACACACTACACTATACACTACATTATACACGACTATACACTACACAATACACTATACTGTACACTACTACACTATACACTGCACTACTATACACTACTACACTATACACTACTATACACTAAACTATACACTGCTATACACAGACTCTAACTCTACATTACTATACACTACTACACTATTATACACTACACTATACACTACTGTACACAAACTCTAGCTCTTCCTGGGGAACTCAAAGGCGTTCCCAGGCCAGCCGAGCGGACGTAACCCCGCCCGAGTGTCCAATAGCGCCCAGTAAATAAACATCACAAATATTCTTTCATCGTGAAAAAATATGCTTAAGTTTTACACACACACACAGAGACACACACACAAAATCTAGAGGTTTTTTGTTTGTTGTATCCCCTCTCATCTGGCAACGCGTGGCGGCGGGTCGCGACCCCCGTTGCCAGTGGCGACGGCGGGGCCTCAATTCCAAACCCCGCGGACTTATTTTTCATTTTATTCTTCGACTAAAACCGCGATCGTCGTCGTCGTCGTCAAAGCCGATTTAACGTCATCACGTGCGTGCGACGAGCCTGAACGATGAGTGCAAAAATTCAACAGGTAACAGAGAGGGAGGGAGAGAAACCCTCGCACTGTATGGCGGCATTTGACTGCGCTGCGCGTTATGTAAGAACGAGGTCGTCGTGGTTAAGGGAGGGCGTCGGTAATTAATTTCTTCCGAGTAGACCGTGCAGCGTTGCGCCCTTTGGCGCAGATTAAGTTGCACTTCTTTAAAGTTAATTTTGTTTATTTTTGTAATTTTTTAATGTAGCTCTGTCAACTCGAAATCACAGTTGTAAATATCAACAGACATCTTATGTACTGTACGAGGAGGGGGGGGGGTAGTCCAAATGTCTTGCGACCCCCCCCAATTTGATTATCTTAAAGTAATTTTTTTTATTTTAAAAGTAAGGTTTATGAAAAAACAGAGATGAATATGCGAAAGAAAATTAATTGTGGAGGGGGGTCACAAGACATCTGGGCCACCACCCTGTACCAATGCAGACCTCGAAAGCTAAGCAGGTTAGAGGCTGGATAGCCAGTGGATGAGAGGCAAACAAGGTCGTGGGCATTGGTGGGGAGGGCATTGACAAGAAATTATATTGTTATGTACATCTATGCTCCCACGGCCCCCGCCATCACTCCCAACTGACCAGCGTGGTGTGGTCGATGTAACCCCCACGGGTATTGATATACTGTGCTTTTTCTGGAAGACTTTGCTGGTTTTTCATGGATTTTTCTATTTGCGTGTAGTCACTTTAAGATCTTCTTGGTTCTTTCGGTAAAGTCACGTAGAAGGGAAATAATAAAATAATAAAAATTACATAAAATAAATATATCTTTTTTTTATAAAATAATAAAAAAACACAAAAAAATTCTTAAATAATACAAATAAAACATAATAAAAGAAAAATGTTTATTATGTTTTATTTTTATTATTTTATTCTTTCCCTTCTACGTGACTTTACCGAAAGAACCAAGAAGATGAATCCCTGCAGTCACGAAAGCTTGAAATCGATATTCACTTTAAGATGTTTCTTGTTCATGTTTGTTGCGGTTGTACCCGATTCAAGAGCCCAATGGCTCACAGGGCTCTACCAAATAAATGAAACTGAAACTGAAAACAGATGTTGGGAGGCCTTTAATCCAGCAGTGGATTGGCAAGGTCCTGTTCGTACCTGCACGCCACGTTTGTCAGCGTGAAGGTGGGGGGCATAGACGCTGGGGCATAGTGCAGTGCAACAATGGATTTTGCTGAAATTCCCACAATGCTGGCAACGGATTTGAAACTTATCGAGCGTCCAAATGTAATAAATGTGAGACACTGGCTCAGTAACATAGTTTGACAAAGCGTAGATATGAATTTGAAGAGGGATCTGGTGAAGTGCAAATGAGAATAGCGTCGAAGACATTGGATCGGAAGGTATTCGTGAATCGTAGGCAGAGGCTAAGAGGTAAGACTGAGCAGGTAGTTTCATAAAGACGTGGAGTCAGTAATACAGACAATCAGGATCAACATTCGTCAGAACTTGGAGCAGCAGGAGAGAGAACGACCTTCCAACTGCAGACTGATGGAATCATCTAGATTAGGGTTGCCACATTTTTCACCACAGATCAAATCCGGACATATTTTTCAGTGAGCGTAGATCTATCATTGCTGTGAAATATATTGCATTCAGATAACGTTGAATACGATATGACGAAATATCAGTACAATAAATTCTCTGCCATATGTGAAAAATAGCTTTATAGCTATATTCTTAGGTTTTTTCGGTAAAGTCACATAGGTAAAAAAAATAAAATTAATAAAAGTTAGATAAAAATTAAATTTAAATCACCTCGCTTTTTTAGGTTCGCGAGTTCAGAGAGTTCGTTTTTGCTAATGTTACTAGGTGGTTTCTTAGCATTCTTAAGAATAGTGGCTATTTCAGCTCTTGCTACATCCGCATGGATGTGTCCTATGCCTCTGAGGGCTACATCAATCTGAGAAATCAGATTCCAAAGAACACAGGATGAGATGTTACTATCCTTTGTGCAAGCACTTCCAAGAGTTCATGAACAGTGAGCCTGGTGAAATTTGGGGAGCACATCGTCAGTAGTGACCCTTTGGTTCCTAGGGTGTTTCGGCCTTTCATGCTATACACCCTCCCCAAAGGCGGCCAGCGACAGGGTGATCAATCCTACGCTTGCGTCCCATTCCCAATTAGTCATAGGAGTTGCCTTGTTGTTGGTAGCCAACATCCCATGGGACTATGCATGGCAGGGGCGTCCTCCTCCCTGAGTCAAGCATTGTTGACTGCATACCTCCTGGCCCTCTCACTTTGGGGCCCAGCTGGGGTCTTTCCTCTTCATCCAGAGCCACTGACTGCTGCCTTCTGCCGCCTCCGATACAGCTTTGATTGCCGAACGCTGGCTCTGGCCCTTAATTCCCAGGTCTCTAAGCAGTCTGGTTGTAGATGTTGCCACAAAACCTCTGCAGCCCACCTCCACTGGTCGGACTTCTGTGTTCCAGCCATGATGCCGTGCTTCGGCAGCTAGATCGGCATAGCGCAGATGTTTTCGCTCATAAGCCTCATCTACTGAGTCCTCCCAGGGTACTGTGAGCTCAATGATGAAGACCTTCTTGAGCGAACGGGACCAGAGCACCATGTCAGGTCTTACGGTGGTGGTTGCGATCTCCGGAGGAAACACAAGTTGCCGGCCAATGTCAGCTAGCATTTTCCAGTCGCGGGCCAAGCGCAGCTGGTCTCGCTCTATTGGTGTAGAGCCGCTCTTTGGTCTCATTCTCTACTGGTATATATTTAGGGGTGACAGCGAAATTTAGTCCTTTGGCCAGTATCGTTTTCAGATTGTTTGGGATGTTACTCTAATTAAGAATGCTAAGAAACCCACTAGTAACATTAGCAAAAACGAACGCTCTGAACTCGCGAACCTAAAAAAGAGAGGTGATTTTTATTTAATTTTTATTTTACTTTTATTAATTTTTTTACCTACGTGACTTTACCGAAAAAACCTAAGCATATGAATCCTTGCAGTCACGAAAGCTTAAAATCTAGCTTTCTAGCTCATCGGATTCTTCCAGTCTAATGAAAGATTCTGATTCTAAGATGACAATTGGACAGGTGACAACCGAAAACTGGATATACCTGCTTTGCATGATCCATGCTCATCCATTCCATCGTTTCCCGCGTGTTATTAAAGATGCATTGTATTTTTTTTATTTAGCACCAGCTTGTTTGCCCGTCCTCGGTCGGACGCTGTAATATTTACGCAAAAAATGGAGCAGAGTATAATCTTGTGTAAATTTAATGGCAGTGAATTTTGCGCGAAAGTATGTCATCAAACACCTCACTGCAGTTCACTGTAGCACTGTTTTAATGGCAGTGATTCTTGCATAAAACTTTGTCATTAAACACCTAACTTCATGTCACTGTAGCACTGTATATAACTGACCTTCAATTTGTTCAAATTCACTGCTCTGATACTTTATTCTCTTCTACTTTCGGTCGCTGGGGTTGAAATAAATTGGAATTCGATACAATATCTGGAAAATCACCGAGAAATATCTATTTTACCACAAGTGCTGAAGAAATAAAGACACCAAATCCACTTTGATGCAGTGTAGAATTATTTATTAGATTCACTTCAAATAAAGAAACGTAAAACTTAAAGCGAATTTCCGAAAAAATAATTATATCCGCCTGACCTGCGTGGGTGTAAAAATCCACCCGCTCATGAATATTAATGACGGGGGGTGCGGCATGTGGAGTGACGTCACACGCGTTACACACAGACACTATTGGCTCATTAGAGTAGTAATTCCCAACAAATGACCAGACCCTTGGCAGGAGGGCAGTTAATGACGAATTCATTGAGTCTACAGCTTTCTTATGCAGCAAAATCAATTGCCATTCGACTGAAGGCCAGTCGAGTCGTACACATTTATATTAAATCGGTGTTGCTAAAAGCAATGTCACGGAAAATCATTGATACAAAGTGAGGTGTCATGTACTTACAATACTTAAAACCAGTTTGATAAACTAATTTAAGTTGGTAGAGGTGGGTTACCAATACTTCGTATCCCCCTCCAAACTCCAATGCGACTGAATAAAGTTTAACCATGCTGCTGCTGGCTTCAAACTCACATCACACAGGCAGTAAAGAAACCTGCCCATGGTTTAATTGAAGCAATGAGTGCTACATTGGTTTAATATCAAGTCACATTAGATGTTGTTCTTAGATGAGAATACAGAGTGTAGAGGTGGCACAGTGGTTGAATACCTGAGTTCGATTTTTGGCCACGGACAACAGTGACAAGCGGTCTGAATTGATCCTGGGCCTCTCACACACCTTCAACTCACACTGACCAGCATGGGGAAGTATGGTCAAATAATGTCAATGACTGGAATAAAATGAGAATGCACTAATTGTCTTTCTTTTCTTCATGTTCAGCCAAAGGAACACAAAGCTCGCATTTGCTTATGGTAAGTCTTTTCTCAAAATAACGCATGTTTCATAAGTGAAGAATGCATTTTGATATTTCAGACCTGACTATGTTCATGCTGTAGTTGACAGATACCCACTGTAGCTGTGAATGCAGTAGCATGTTTCTTGTGATTTGCTTATCAACAATATATGCATTGTTAATTGGAGCTGCTATTACACATTCCTGCGGAGGGAGCTGGTAGGAACGTTGGGTTGCTCGGTCAATGGCCAGGGTCAACGGCGGCGTGGTGTATTCCGCAAATATGGCCGACTGTGAGGGGGGGCACAAGCCGTGGTGAGTAGGTTAAACGTTGAGTTTTATAAGGGCACCACGGGGTGACCAGCCCCTCCCCACCCAGCTCCACCCAGCCCCACCCTTCCCACCCAGCCCCTCCCAACCCTCCCCACCCAGCCCCTCCCAACCCTCCCCACCCAGCCCCTCCCCACCCTCCCCTCTCCACCCAGCCCCACCCCTCCCATTTTTGGATGCACGACGGACGGACACAATAATCCCCTGTGGGCTGGTGTAACCAGGAGGTTCCTACCAGTAATATGCAGTGTGATTCTCTTCTGCTCTTTCCAGGGCCGACCTGACCGTGAATAACATGGACCTTTTGGAGCAAGCGGTTACAGCCCATCAGTTACGCGAGTAAGCCTTTCTTTCCACATTGCTGTGTGAGATAATCATTGCGTGTTGCCCTGCCTGAAACGACAGAAGTATTTCTGTGCTAAGCTACTATCACACTTGGGACTGTGATGACATACAATTTGACCTGCTCGCAAGTAGCGCAATTTATTCACCAGTTGTATTGACCTAATAACACCATTCAAACTGTTAAGACAGTAGAGTACGTGGGTTTGAGCAGGACGATTCACTGGAAGGGATGATGCATGATGGGTTTTTGTTAGTTATTAGAATAATAACAGTGGCAGACAAGGACTGGGACGTGTCCAAGAGCGTCCACCAAAAAGATAAAGCGTTGAAATCAGCTTGTGTGCAGGTCCTCGGTGGTTTGTTACATCATGAGAGATGGCGACGACTTGGGGAGGCTTTCATACAGCAGTGGATTACAACTGCTGATGATGCCGAATGCACGTGGCATGATACCAATTATATTGCATACACTTCCACAGGACACTGTCAGATGTCCTGGGCCTCAGGCAGCACATGGATGAAGAGAGGACCCAAGTTGAGTTGGATTTGTATTTCTACACGGTGCAGTTTGCACGCGAGCACAACTTTAACAAGGAACAAACGTCCGTCTTGTTCACAATAGTCAAGCGGACACATGAGGTCTGCACTGGTGAGTCCACATTTTTTCTACTTGGACCAAAACACAGTTATTGCAATGAACATTTCTTAGTGCTTACCTAACCACTAGTTTTTTTAGAAACACATTGGTCTTGTTCACTATGAAGAGTTGACACTATATTTATGGACCTTAGTTCTGTACACACCTTTTTTTAAATGAATGACCCATTTGTTGGAAGCTGCGTTTTATTTTTTTTAATTAAGTGACTTGTGTAATTTCAATTTTCAGAGACTCCACTGGGGAATTTGGAGCAGTGCTTCTCATACTTCAGGGAGCTCGTGTTATGCCATGCAGTCAGAGTAAGCCTTATTCTTGACGTCATTTAGCACCCCTAAAGATTGAAGGCTTATTCATTCAACGTTTGGTCCCAAAATAACAGCATGAATTAACCATCGTTCCATGTTTTCTTACAGAGACCTCCATTTAGCATCGATTTATTCAATGCCGAAGAGGTGAAACTGATAATCGATTATGTTGTCAACACTTACTTTCGACACTATAAACTATACAAGTATGTCTTCACCCCAACGGTAAGCTGCAAAATAACATGCATCGACTGGTTGAAAATATAGAAAAAATGTCCGAATGTTTAGTTGTAACTTTTGTGCAGGTGCGTTTAGATTTATCGATCTCGTACACGGGCCTGGATGAAGAATCCCCATCCTCTCCAGACGGTAAGTTTCCTTTGTTTTGGAATGACCTACATTCATCATCAGCCAGTCTATCCACTGCTCAATACACCCACATGCTGTTACGTATAATCTTTCACGGTCCTGCGATGCCACATTCTTACAGTAATGTTGTTCATGATCCCCGATTGAGATGTGTCCCACTCAAGCCCACTTACATAAGTCAGTTCCTTCGATTTGAGATTTGTTCTCGAATCCATGTGCTTTACACACGCGAGCTTTTACTGGGTCAGCTAATATTTTACCAAACAGCATTTTTCTTTCGAATCTGTCATTATTGAGGAAACCCATCACAACAGAAAACGCAATGCAGGCTGGAATAAAATACATTTAACAACACACAAAGGCATGTGCACTGCATGTGCAAAGCTCGCAGCCTATTCTGGTTGGCGGTCTAAATGACAAAGTGGCCACACATTCAGTTCTTTTGAGCTGGTGGTCTGGATAATGGCGAGAGCTTTTGTACATGCAATGGACACGTGTGTTGTTAAATGTAGCACAATTGTGAAGTAATAATACGTGACATGTTGCTTTGTTTTGATAAAAGCGGATGCCAATGAAGGGGATGACAATGAAGGGGACAAAGTAAGCCAAGACACGGGCTGTATGGAACAAGGGCCTCCAGCTGTTATTGCCAATGAAGTTCCCGAACAACCTGCATCCCCTGTAGAAGGTAAAACATTTGTGTTGCTGTTGGTTGGTCCGTTACAGCTTTCATACAAAGCGCATTAACGCAGATGGGAAACCTGCACCGTAAGTGATTTCGCCACGGCTAATCTTACAGTGAACGCCAGATGGCTGAATTGCTGAATTTGTGCCAGGACTGCCAAACTTTCATGTCGCCACAATCAAGTTTTAGTTCATGGCCAAAACGCATATAATCTGTGCACTGTATTACGTGTGTGTGCGCGTCTGGTTTAGAGGAAAAAACTGATCTGAAGAGCTACATTCAGCGGGAGCTTTCGGCCCAGCTTTCCCACGTGCATGCCACCATTGCCGAACAGATGAAGCAGAGCGAACAGCAGTTGGCTGAAAGGCTCGCCAGCATCGAAGGGCGCAATTCCAGCGGCAAAAATTCCAGCAAGAGCAATAGAAAATGACAGACTCGGCGAATAGTAGTGTTTCTCAATGAAATTTTATCATCATTTATGACACTGAGAGAACATAAGTGCTGCGTTTGTTTGTCTTTCCACACGTGTACATAACGTGTACTTAGAGGGTTACAATGTCACAAATGAAATGTAATCAACAATAGCTTAAAATGCAATTAAGACAGATTATATTACTTCAAGAAACCAATATTGGGGACAGAGGAGACTTTGCAAATGATATTTTCAAGTCATACATGAAATAGCAAATGTAAACCACAATACGTAACATCGTATTCAAATGCAACAGAGTTGTAAAATAACATTTTAACAGAATTCTCATACCCTGTGCTTAAGGGAAATCAATACAACAACCCTTATTTTAGAAAATATCCCCCCCCCCCCTTCTTGATATATCTAAAAACTACTTTTAAATATTTTTCAAAAGTTTCTTTACAAAATCATGATGATTCTTGTCATCATTACACAAATGCGTAAACATGCAGCAATGTAATCCATTAGTAAGCAGTTGCTATGCACCATATACCAACACTGGCCATTACCACAATTAGGACATACTAAACATATGCTATTGCATTTGGAAATTAAAATTGGTTCCACATTTAAAAAGCATTCATGTGTTTTATTCCATCAATACAGTACATTTTCAGTGACTGCCGTTGAACAGATTAGGTCGCTTGTATAGATTGCCACCTCTATTCCTGCTTAGATTTTATAAACTGAGGCACTAGACACACAGTCACAGTTCAGACCAAAAGCTTCTAGATACAGCCGTTTGCAGATTGCAGCTCATGCAAAAGCTCGTGGAAGCTGGTGACAAACCACTTGGAGTTTTCCTGAACTTGGGATCGAACTGCATTCCCTCCGAAGCCAATGAATGCATCCTGGGGCCACAGAAAAGGAAAAGCTCGTCAATGAGTACATGATATTATTTGAGTAAATTATAGGTTGAAAACTTAAACGTGCATAGGAGGTCCAAGTTTTTATAAACACAAAACGAAATTCCATGGTTGAATAAATGTGTTTTTTATGAATAATACACATCATACGTTGTGGAAAATCATGGGTAATAGCATATATCAGCCAAAACTCTGTTTATGTGTCTCCACATACAGATAGAATATTTTTTGTCATTTGCCTATTGGCTTTCCAGGCTAATGTAATTATCCAACGGCATTTGTTTCAGCAAGCAAACTCTGGACCCGTTTGTTTATTTTCTGGGTCTCATAAGCAGTCATGCTTCTTAAATCCTGATGGGTTGGCAGATGTTATCGACAAAAGCCTCGAAACGATTGGGCCCTGTTGAACGCAAAACGTCAACATCATTGCATCGGTGTGGACCATCATGGGTAAAACAGACCAAGGTGTAATAACAGGTGAAAGCAAATGTACACTCACAGCTGGTGGACAAGCCTCCATGTCTGTGGCTCCATCACCAATCATGACTACTTGCTTGTAGCCGTACTTTGCCTTGATTGCTGCAATTACTTTGCCCTTCCCTCCCGACTCGGATGTCAGCTGAGATTCATCAAAGCCGGCATATTCGCCTGCCAAACAAAACATCACTTCAATGTTATATCAACAACTTTGCATGAAACCACATGTACATTTACAACCCCTTTGTCCATTGCAAGATGCAGGTCATGCGAGTTTTTTTATACTTTATCACGCTTGTCAGCACTACCAGTACAGTGCATTTCGCTGCACTGCCCTCTGCTGCTCAGCACCTTGCCCCACAGAGACTTATAGCACCTGTTTAATGTTTAGTGGTTGCCCATCCAAACACTCCAGGCACAACCCTGATACGCAATTTGAGATCGAACTGGATCCGACACATTCTGGGTGATTCGGTCATTGGTATTATTTCTACGTGACACATTTTTTTTTTACAATTGTGTTTAGTTTGCCATCCTTCCCCCACACCTCCGATTAAGCAACGGTGGACTACGTACGGTGCGAAAGAAGTTCAACGTACATACAATAATAAAAATGTGTTCCATGTAGAAATATCACATGGACAACACCGAGAGCAGGTTATCCAAACGCGACACGCTGCTTCTGCGGTCTAAACTTTAGAACCCACCGTTGTAAAAGAACGAGAGTCGGTTGGCGTAGATGTCTTCCGGTGGGATGGAGAGCTCTTGGCCCACAATCTCCACCAAGCAGCGAAATCCGCCAGACACGAGGAATACGTGGGCCCCTCGCCGCTGTAAGCAAGACACCAGCTCCCTGCTCCGCACAAAAGAAAACCATGAGACTGTGTGGTTAGGCCTATTTTAAGTGCATTAAAGTATGAAAGTAATGGTAATGCTCTGCTTGCAAAAAAAAAGTGATCTAATAAAACTCCCTGGTGTGATTTCGAGTTGTGCAATACGTGGTACAACCCGAAATAACACATTGAAGAACTATACAGCACGACGGTGAAAACCAATGCAGTTGCTATGAATAAGCAACTCAAGAGTGTGTTAGGAGTGCAGCCTGTTAACAGAAATTAATTAATATTCGCCGCGTCGCTGGCAAAACTGGAGTAGGCATTGAACTCGGATCCACAGCCATAGAGGTACACTGGATGTGCTGTACGTGGTGTTGGGACATTTTCACGAAAAGACCCAGGGGATGCAATTAAGCCCTGCCTATTAACAAGTAACATAACTCTCACACTGCATGGGTCACACATGTTACCTGTAAGCAAACACGGATTGAATGCCTGAAGCTCGTCCTCACCGTATTCCAGGTGTGAGTTGTGGGGGCTTCACTTGCAGCAGCTCTGCTATCTGATCGCAGGTTGGCTGGATGATGTTCAGCCGCTCCCTCAGGGCAGTGCGGAAGGACACGCCACCCCCCATAGCCCGTTTTGTCCTGCGATGTAAGAACACAGGACGGACACACCAAAAATTGGCTGACAATAGTGGTGGTGGTGGTGGCAAGAAGCCTACAGGGTTAATTTAAAACTCTGTGAGAATGCACACGTGACCTGTTCATGTTTAAAGATCAAATTGCAGTGCAGTATACAGATAATAACGTAGGGTGGGAGCAGTGGGGCGATGGTTTCATGCACGGTGCGATGAACCCGGCGATCAGAGTTCACTTTCTGGTCAAGGATAATATTGGGATATCTGAACCGGTCCTGGGCTCCCATCCTTCACCAACCCGTGCTTGACCAGCATGGTGAAGTATGGCTAAACAACCCCCATGTCCGACACGGTACAAGGGAAGCCTCCATCCAGCAACGCATTCACAAAGGGCTGTAAAAGTAATACAAACAATGAAGTGTGGATATTCGTAATCTTTGAACTTCTGACTGAGGTTGCATAATCTGTGGAATGCCCTGGGACTGAGCCCCCCCCCCCCCCCCCCGCGTGCCCCAGACCACACGTACCACTCCGTGACCTCGTCGCCGACTCCGCAAAACTTGGCGAGCTCGTCAATGCCCTCGTCCGTGATGACGGTGCTGTCCACGTCGAAGCACACGGCGTCGGCCCCGCGCAGGATGGCCTTTGTCTCGTACAGCGTCGACATCTCGTCTTCGGAGTTTCGCAGCCCAAGGCACACTGGAAAAAAATGACGTCGTATTTAACAAAGATAAAGACCCCCCCCCCCGCCTCTCGTATAGCCTTAACAGACTGTTGGGGCAAGTGCTGTTAGCGAGCAGCACCGATTAAGGCCGGAGCGGCACACGAAGGGATGGGGTGGCCAAGCAGCATGCCTGGCCGCCTTTCGTCTCCCCAGTGGTGACGTTTACACATCGCGCCAGGTATTCATTTGAGGCTGAGTCGACCTAGGGGAGGCTCAGGACCAGTTCAGATAATCGTCACCGGGTGTTGGCCGTGAGCGGGAATCGAACTCGGGGTGCCAGGGTCGAAGCGCAGCTTGGAGACGCCAGGTTGTTTTTCCACTGCAGAAGCTGAGCCGTGACACCGACTACTTTGCATGCAATTAACAATTTGAGACAACGTGTGGATGATGAAGAGGTGATGCTGTGTCCTCACAGTGTTACGGACTTAACGTCACAAAAAATGAATGGCCCATTATCAGCCCCCCCCCCCACCATCCCTGGCCCTGCTTGGCCCTAAGCTACATTCCGATATGAGGCCAGCATATGTTTGTTCTTTGCTTGGTTTGGCAGATACCCAGTGGAGAACAACCTGTACCGTGAAGGCACCCCCCCCCCCCCCCCCACCGCGTCGGCTCGGATGTGTCAGTGGGAGTCCGGGAGTGTTTGTGTGGTTGGCATGGGGCTGCCAGTGCAAGGAGTGAAATGGTCCCTCCCCCCTCCCCCTTGCTAGCAGGCCCCTGTGGTAGCTACATCGCCTGTACACCCACCTGAGTTTCATTCCGGGCCACGGCTAACATCAGTGGCTGTTACCACCTCAACTGGTTGACTTCCATCCCCTCCTCTCCTCTCACCAACCCGCATTGACCAGCGTGGTGAAGTATGACTAACAACAACTGCCATTCGCCACTAAGTGGCGGTGACGTCACCACGACGCTGACGCTTGTGCCAGGCCATGTGCACCTTGAGGCTACCACGTGAAGTGTCGAACGCCCGCTGGCAGGAGGTCACGGGGCAGACCCAGCAGGTGCCACGGGTCAACTGACTGAGATGAGCGAGATGAATGGCTGATGCACCACCTGTGCCCCCTACTGTGCCAACTACCAGTATGACCAAACAACCCGCATTGACCAGCATGGTGAAGTATGACCAAACAACCCACATGGCATGGGGGAGGCCTTCATTCAGCAGTGGATTGACAAAGAACCTGTAATTATGTTATACGTGTATGAAGTTTAATTAGTTTTTAATTAATCAGTGCCGACTACCTATGCATATTTTTTTTTCTACTATTTTAGATCTTATTCCAACATAGCAATTTACTTATCACTAAAGTATGTTCAGTTTTGCATATCGACCGCGAACATTTAAACTCGTTAAAATGCACGACACGCATAACAGCCATGCGGTATAACATTATAAGCCCTGGGTTGAAACGCCACTCAATCACAGCAAACAATCAAACGGCGTGGACATCCTCCATAAACGTCTTACACCAAACCCTTACCGACGAGAAGGAACATTTTGTATTCGGTTCTGAAATTCGATTTAAACTCACGGCGTTCGTTTGCACGTGGGAGCGGTGGCGCAACGGTTAGCGCGCGCGGCTACCCCGGTGATCCCGAGTTCGATTCCCGTTCACGGCCACCGGTGACGATTATCCTAAAACCGGTTATGGGCCTCCACAGTGCAAGTAGCCTGGTGTGGTGTCTAAACCATCCCACCCATCCGTGTGCCGTGCCGGCCTTCATAGGTGCTACTCACCAATAGCGCTTGCCCCCAAACAACTCCCTTAAAGCTCAGCTTGTGTCAAGCCGGGTGCAGTCTGCTACTGGATTTAAAGAGCCCTACAATTCCACCACATACGGTTAGGAAACATAAAGCCGGTGAATAAGGAAGAGTTCTTACGCGTCTGTACTCGGATCTCGTGATGTGAATTCTAATGATGTCCTCGTAAGGACGGGAGCATTGATAACTCCGGCACAAAGGTTCCACACACTGACGTCTCGTGATGAATATCGGAAACCCCTCCACCTGCCCCATCATCACTAATCAACCAAGCAAGCTTCCAATTAATTGATCAGTGATCAATCCACTGATAGATAAAACATCCCCAATTCGCCACGATTTATGTAATAATCAACATCATCATCATCGTCGTTCACCTTCGCAACAAACTAACGATGTGCAAGATTAAATGTATAAGACGTACTGTACAGTATAATATACCTTAGCGAGATAATGTAACTCAGTACTTACACTGAACGGCAGCGTAGATTTCGGCGTAATGTGTCTTGTCAGCTGATGTACCAACCCCGGACGCATGCGAAACTGGACTGGCTCTCTTTATATATACACACACACGGCGCACGGCAAATGTTCTATCTATCCGGCCGTATCTCTGGACAGGCAATAAAATAAAAACACTAAATAAATAAATTTACGGCAATAAATACCTATCAGCGTTAAAAAATAGTGCAAATGATAAACGCGGAGGACACCACACCCCACCACCCTCGAAATAGCAAACAGCTCCGTTGCAATATAAATTAAATGCGAACGAATAGCAAATTCGTTTTTCCTTCCCCTCCTTCCCTTCGTTCCCTTCTCTCTGCTCAGCACGAGAATGACGACAGCCCGCAGCAGCTCAGCCGGTGCGTTGTCATCGCGAGTTGCACGTGGGGGGTGGTGGTGGTGGTGGGGGATTTAAAGAGGCGTTTGCGTGCGAGGGAGGCGAGCGAAAGCGAGAAACAGCGGCCAACGCCACGACATTTATAGCCTCGCCCGCCGCGCCCTGTGATTGGTTCTCATCCACGTGGTGGGATGGGGCCCCGACCGCCACGTGTGGAGCGGTGGGGGTGGCGTGGGTGGGTGGCGAGAGCCGTGCCGGGTGTTACATCAGCGGGCCGGTTTTGCTCCCCTCTGTGGCCAATGGGAAGGCGAGGAAACTGCGGGGCTTGTGACGTAGGTTCACGTGGCCGGCGCGTGGTGCTGCACCCACCCCCTCCTCCTCCTCCTCTCTTTCTCTCTCTCTACCCCCCCCCCATGCCTCACTTCAGGGTCGGGCTTTGCTCTGCTGTACAACAGCCGAGCAGTGGAGGGCGCAAGTGGCGGATTGAGCAGAAAAAAAAGAAAACGACCACGCGAAAGGGTTCATGAGACCTCGTGCTCTTAGGTTTTTTCGGAAAAATCACGTAGGTAAAAAATAATAATAAAATAATAATAAATGAAAATAACTCAATTAAATCACAACGTTTCGGAGGCAACACAAGTCTCCGTCTTCAGGTGGGACCGTCACAGCCAAATTTACTGTATCGTGTTAATTGATTTATTTTCATTTTTTTACCTATGTGACTTTACCGAAAAACCTAAGAGTATAAATCCTTGCAGTCTCGAAAGCTTCAAATCTAGAATTCATGAGTCCTCCTTTGCCAGTAATAAATTATGATAATTGATACTCTTTGGCTCTTTCGGTAAAGTCACGTAGGTAAAAAAAAATAGATCACGACGTTTCGATCGCAACAGCAAGCGGCCGTCTTCAGGTGAAAGGATAATTAGGATAATATGATAATAGGGTTTGCCCCTTTCTGGCAATAAACCAGGTGTTGGGATGTTAAAACGCCAAAGTGAAACCTTTGCAAGGAATCGTGTCTGCGTTAACCACATATACTGGTGGTGAACATGCAAACACAAAGTTTGAATGCGTCCGAATCTAGAATGTGTATTCATCTTGACTTAGAGCTTTCGTGAATGCAGGAATTCGTATTGTTTGGGTCTTTCGGTAAAGGCACGTGGGTGGGTTCAAAAAATAAATGTATTTCTAGGTGACTTTACCGAACGAACCAAAGAGAAATTCCAGCAGTCACGAAAGCTTTGAATCTAGTTTAAAATAAACGAAATTAACTAAAAACAACGTCTCGATCGCTACACAAGCGACCGTCATCAGATGGAAAAAATTAACCCGTAAAAACAAAGTTTTTCACTATAAATCCTTTATATGCGGGGTCGGCGAGAGTCCTCTCGTCCTCTGGCTTGAGATGGCTGCCACCTATGGGTCAGATGATTGTCTGCCACCATTAAGCAATTGGTAATTAAATATTTTTTTAAAAATTCCCTAAACAGTGTAAAATTTTGGAAAAAATTTTTCACGAAAATTAATTGTCTCGCACAACGAGTCTGTGTGCAAAATGTCAGCTCGATTGGATCACGGTAAGTGGGTTAAAAAAACGACCGAAAGATTTGCACGGTCGTAAGCAAGCAAGCATGCAAGCAAGCGAACTTAATATAAAGGATTTAAAAAAGGGTTGATGACGGTGGTTTGTGTTGCGATTCGAAACGTAATTTTTGTTTATTTAGATTTTTTATTAATTTTTTTTGAACCTATCTACGTGATTTTACCAAAAGACCCAAGTAATAGATTTATTTATATCGAAGGTATCCGATGAGCTACCAAACTATTTCTTTCACAGATGTCTAGTAAATAAATAACTTTAATATCCGGGCGGCCCCACGAGTCCCACCCGCACACCCAAAATTCATGAAAATTATTTAACAAATAAAATTGGTGCGCGTCAAATTCGACCTCAGATTCGTATCGTCGTCAGCAACATGGTCAATCCACTGCTGGATGGAAGGCCTCGCAAAGCTGCCCGCCGACCTCGCACCCAGCACCTGCTGCACGCGGACGGATTTCACCGTTGCGTTCATTGACTGCCGCATTCCGTTACATTCGAACGAACATTTGTTTTGCCTCCAAGAAAATAAGCCAATTCATCTCACTCTCTCTCTCTCGCTCTCATCTCCATCTCGCTTGCATTTCTCTTCTCCCGTTTCAACGCGCGCACTCCGTCTTCTTCGACGTTTATTTTACATCAACACAGCACGGAACTGCAGAGGTGGAGCCACACAAATATTTTCCTTAGCCTCTCCCCGATGGGCCAGCACCACCAACACTTGGTGGTAGCACATACCAGGGGTGGCTATGATACTGGGGGGTGCAGAATACAATCAATATACTGCTGGATGAGAGCCTCCCCTAATGCCATTTCTCTTCGTGTGTATTTGCAAACTTGTCAGGAGGCTGCATGCCACGTTTAGTCCTATTTTAATGACCTGATGTCATAAGCAGGTTGTATGCACGGATTAGCAAATATTTATTCCTGATACACACTGAGACTCACCTCCTCGCGTATGCCTCTGTGCGCCACGGTGGCGAGATGTTAACTACCTCGCCTGGTATGCAGGAGGTCGTGGGTTCAAATCCCGACCCTGATGCCTGTATATTTGGAGTTTGCGTGTCTCTCTCCCCAGGTCCTCCGGTTTTTCCCTTCACATTTAGAATCAATATGCATTTAGAGTATTTGGCTCTATACATTACCACATGATAAGCCACTTCGTTGAGCTATGCCACGTCTCCTGCCCAAGCCCCACTTTCTTAACAGTGGCTGGATGAATACAATCCCATTAAACATGATACAGTGGATAAAGTAAAGCCATACCAAATTCGAGTACGAGGTATAATCTTCTTTTGCCCAAAGTCTGCCGTCAAGTAGATGCTGCTGCCTCCTCTGCTGGGGGATGCTTGGCAAAGCAGGGAGAATTTTCGTGGCGATTTTGGCGTTAAAGTACGAGTGGAAAAGTACAATTCCCATCCACGCACTTCACCACTCTCCGTCACTCCGCGTCAGTAAAGGCGATGGGCTTGGACGAACAGCAGCGAACTGGATGTTGCAGCACTGCCCTCTGCTGCCCATCACGCAGCCCAGACCCAGACCCCAACATTCCCAGACTCATGTCCACGTTGCCAGCAAACGTGCAACGTTGAGTCAACGGTGGCCAGGGTCCGATGTTGACTGGGCTACTCTATCCCTCCTCACCTCAACAATAATATAACATTATTCCATCATCTAGGGTGCTCACTGTTTCCCTCGATATTGACTGAAGTGCGACGTGTTGGTAACTTTCGAGTTTGTCCTGTATAGTCACCACACTGTTAACTGCTTTAAAAAGACACGTTTCATTATCTTCCCCTCCCTCCCCAAAGTTATTCCAACGGTGCTCTCTGTATCGTGGCGTGCGACAAAGTATCCATTTGGATTCTTGCAGTCACGAAAGCTTCAAATCAAGATTATCCATTTGGAAGTCTCGCCGAGAAATCACCCCGCGTTAGCGTTCAGAGAACGGCCTGTGGAAGTAGATGCTACAGAACTGCTTACTGAGATCCAAGGCCGTAATTATAATATATATTGGGGGGGATGCCCCCCAATATTCAAATATGCTTGTGGTTATGGTTGTACTTTATTAATCCCTAATCTCTGCCATTACATACAATGAAACAAGAAAAGGTAAAACAGAAAAAAACAAAGCAATGTAATACAATACACTATTAGACATTATTGTAAAAAATAAAATAAAAAGTCAATCCTGTGTTAGCGAATTTTTTTAATATTTTAGGCAGGAAATTCGTTTTCCAATTTAGATGTTTTTTTCTGGGGGGGGGGGGGGACCCCAGACCCTCTGGAAGATTTGGTCCCCCCAAATGTTGACTCCATGGCTACAGCCTTGCTGAGATCCCTTACGGATGTAAACCCGGATTCGAACACAGCATCTCAGCGTTTACTCATCAGTGCTCCCACTCATGAGCCACCCATTGTTGAAAACAATTAGAGCAAAATAATGACATGCAAAAGCCAAGCGTCGAAATCGCAATTTACGAGTTCGTTTGGCCAGCGGCCTTTCTGCTGCCGATGCTGGCACAACTCTGGCTCTCATGGAAAGTCGCCAGCCTGGACACTGTGCCCTGTGTATTCCCAGAGCCTGCTGTTTCTTTTGTGTCGGATTGTTTTCTTCTTCTTTCTACCACAGTATCCTCCGGGTACAGTATCCCAGTGTGTACACATTCAACTTGCAGAAACGTGTTTTAACTTTAAACTCGGTACATAGATACAGAATATACTTACGGGATATAATCCAAAGGAAAACAATGACGGGTCATGTTAAATTTTGAATTAAAGCTTTCGTGACTGCAGGGATTCATATTCTTGGTTCTTTCGGTAAAGTCACGTAAAAGGGAAATAATAAAATAATATAAATATAAAACAATAAAAAAATAAAAATTCTCACGACGTTTCGACTGCAACACAAGCAATCATCATCAGGTGTGAAATCCACAGCAAGAAAATTTGTGGATTTCACACCTGATGATGATTGCTTGTGTTGCAGTCGAAACGTCGTGAGAATTTTTATTTTTTTATATTTATATTGTTTTATTATCTCCCTTCTACGTGACTTTACCGAAAGAACCAATAATATGACGGGTAATGTTGTTCGTGAAAGCGTATGTATCAAAAAATATATGCTGTTATATTGAATTAGATGAGACCAGTTGTTTAATTTAATAAAGCCCCTACCCAAGATCTACAATTTGACAATCTCCATTTTAGATCACAAGAAACCAGTCATGAGAAATGTATTTACACGTGTAGTTTAGGATCCTAATCCACCCCCGCCCTCAACATACGCACTTAAAAAAATAAAGAACTATTATAATTTTTGGGATTTTACTTTGTGGCATCATCTGTTGCTTGTACTTTTGCTGATGACGGTGCAACAATGGGACCTCCTTTACCAGTACCAAAATATGAGAATAGGTTTTTTTCCCTTTTTTCTGGCAACAAAAAAAACACCTTTTACAAGGAATCATGTCTGCATTAACCACAATTCTTGTGGTCAGAATGCAAAAAAAAACACACTGATAATATATGCATTGTCTTTGAAACTGATTGGTCCACACCAGAGACAGCTTTCTTTCGAGCCTCGTCTCAAACGGTGTTAGACCAGAGGACGCCAAAAAGCGTACGATGACGGTGCAGTTTTCTGTGATGCACCACTTCACAGCTGATCGAACTTATTTCTGATTGGCCATGGTTGTGTATAAATTGAGGCTGTTGAAATAGGCAGTGGTTGCAGAAGGGAGAGCTCTAGATTATGGGATAATAACCCTGGCCAGGATCCCTAAACTTGTCTATGAGCTGCGTTCAGAAGTTCTCTCATCGCTTACTTGGCTTGCAAATGTCTCCTAACCACACACCCACGGGATATTACCAAACTTTACTTTCTTGGATTCAAAGCATTGTGCACCAACCGCTCTGCCATTGCTCCTCCATTCGTTTACTGCCAAAATAAACTCACATGTTTTTGTTACATAACTTACAAGTCATAAATGTGACAAAGTTAATTTATAGTGTCTAAATACAATCGCACCTCGAGATACTTTAAATAATAGAAACACTATGTCGGGATTAGAAACAGGGTTGGTGGGTGGTCAGGGAGACACGGGAGAGACGAGAGATACAGCAACATTGCCCTTCCCCTGCACATCCAATTAGCACGGTTGGCTACGTACGGTGCGAAAAAAGTTCAATATATACGTACAGTACAACCACAACGAGCCCCAGGGGCAGCCAAGGCAGCACCGACTGAGACACGAGACCATCAATGGGAGATTGGAGCGCCAAGCATTAATGAATGGGCAATACAGAATTTCTTAAAATGTTTGCATCCTTTATTTTTTAGAAGGTATTCATGAAAAATGCATTCATACAATAGCTCGTGCACAGAGGTCAGCGCATACCACCAGCATTTGCCAAAAAACAAACATAATTTATCTTGCAAAACATTGACCTTAACATTTAAAATAACGAAATAAATAACTACTGTAATGCACTACAGAAAATAAATGTATCGACGCTACAACATTTTAAATAGTGGTTACGTTCGACAACTTAACAGAACTGAAATAACAACGGTACTGATACTCAACCAAACAAGCCAAGTGCTCAACGCCAACATCTTTAAATACGTGCCCCTGAATGCTCGAGTACAGTAAGCAAACTTAAAACAACTCTGCAAGTAGGGCCCTCCGATGTGTTTTCGGGTTGTCCTGTACCGCATGTGGTTTCGCCATGATCTCAGAAGTTTCGCATCATGTGCCAGGAGCTTCTTCAGCAACTGAACTCTTCAGTCATGCCCCCCCCCCCTCTTCTGAACTCATCACCATCATCGTCATCCATGATCTATCCACTGCTGGATAAAGAACCAAAGCCATCGTCAACTCTCGCCGCATTAAGAAGCTCCCAGCTCGTGAAGCGAAATGTCAAACGAAACGCGGTAGAACCCGAAAACACGTCGGAAATATACAGCGCAACCGTGATAAACCTACGTAGTAGACTCTGAAAGTAATAACTGCATCTATTTAAGAGTCTAAAGCCACGCAGTGGCATTAATTAATATGCTAGCTGTATTGCTCAACACCATCGTACGTGAACAAAAAATAATAGCAATCAGTTTCAAAGCAGTCTTGTTCAATATTCTTGCCGTTACATAAAAAATATAACCATGGCTGCTGTATGTATGAGCACATACATACATATGTATACATGTCAAGAAGAACTTACGCTCTGTTTGTGTCACTCGACACCCTGGACACCCTTGCAAACGAGATGTTCCATCTCCCGGGATTGTCCAGGTAAAAACACTCAATGACATAAAAACTCTGCAGGAAGTTGAAGGTCCTTTCAAATATTCATTCCACGTTGTAGTTGGATGGCATCGCACCTTCCAATCCACACCGCACTCTCGATAATTACCACCACTTCAACGACCAGGCAGCGACTCCTGCGAATACGGAACACGACCCTGATGTTTCATCGCAAGAGAAGTTTCCCCCTTAACGAGTGAGGATTTATTTTGCGAGTGTAAAAATCCATACCGGAGTTTGGATGTTCAGCCTAAAGAATTCCCCTTGAACTGCATATTTCACAATCAATACATTGCAAAGAGGGGGCGGGAGGTGGGAGGCAGTTGCAAAGAACCCCCGCAAATCCGAGTTCGATTCCTGGCCATGGCTAATACAAGTGGCGAGTGATATCCCAATCAGTCCTGGCTCCTGCCCCCGCCCCGCCTTCACCAATTAGCATTGACCAGCGTGGGGAAATACGATTTTAAAAAACCTCGTGACTGACACAGCAAGGGGAAGTATTGATCCAGCAGTGGATGGACAAACGGCTGTAACACACTCAAGTGTAGAATTTAATAAACCTGACTGGCGCTGAAAACTTTTCAATAAAGAGTTCCATACACATCTAAGTACTTCTGTTGTCACTGTTACTCTACCACAGGGATGGTAGATGACGAGGCCTACCACTTTAAAACATCCTGCAAACGAAATGTTTTCAGTCACTGCAAGAATCTTAGCTGCACTAATCGGGTGCTAGAGGGAAATATGTTCGACCTGGCAACACTTTGTTTGTAATTATAACAAACTCAGGATCTTCTTCCACTGCAATTGGCCTCTTTAGTCCATGAGCCCACCCAATGCGGCATAACTTCAGTGAATTCCAATTGACTCATTTGGCCAATAACTACCATTTGAAATGAGTTGGTTATGAAAAAAAATCACACTCATTCGCCGTATAAATAAATCGGTACAACTAAAGATGCGCTTACCTTAGGTGACACCAAATTTTAGTCTGGCCAATGGACCCGCGTTTATCCAATCGGCAGGTGCCGTGTGTGTCTGGCCAGCGAGGAAGAATATCCCACAATACCCTCGTGAGGGGCTCTCGGGATATTCTCGGAGGGGAGGCCGTTCTGCCCAGCAGCGGCGTGAGCAGGCAATTGCAGTGCTGCACCTTTACACAACTTACTGACAAAAGCCAACGGGGACCCCAATTGACATAGCACACCCTGGCGTGTGGTGGGGCACAGTGCGAGGACTCCCACCTCTTGTTGAGATATTCTGGCCATCACGGGAAGGTGGCCATAATAGCCTCTTTAGACGTGCCAATTCTCCGAGCGGACAAGCCAAAAAAATTTCACCGTTGACGGAAATGGCCTCCTCCACCAGAGAGGTGGCGGCAGTAGCAGCCGCAGCCACCGCTACTCCTCTTCCTCCTCCTCATCTTCCTCCTCGTCGTATTCGGCGGCCGCCATCTGGATGAGCACGGCCTTGGGCGTGTTTTCGAAGAGCGCGGCGCGGTTCTGCCGCTCGCCCTTCTTCACCCAGTGGCCGTAGATGCGGAAGGCGGCGCCGTCGATGAGACGCCGCACAGGCCCGCAGTGCGTACGGGTCGCGCAGCAAGATCTCCGTGGTGACGGGGCGCACGCGCCGGTAGTGGTAGTACATGCGCACCGACGCCAGCACCGTCAGCATGATGGTCTGCGTGTGCACGCGTGCGTGTGTGTTGAAGAGGGCGGTGGTGTAAGGGTTAGCGTATATCGCACGGTGGCACTCACAGTCAACGTCGGTGATGGCTATCTGGACTGGTCCTGGAACTCTAAAACTAAACTTTTTTTTTTACCAGGTAAGGCCCTCTGAGCTCCAAGAAGTGGCTTATTGTGTGGGAATTTATAGCAAATACTCAAAACGCACGTTTCTAAATGTGGAGAGAAAAACCTGGAAGACCTGGAGAAAAATCTACTTCGTTGAGCTATCGTTTGTGGCTTCTGAAAAAGAGCTATACAGCTCGATGCACCTTATCTGGTCAAATAAAATAAAAATAGATTCTAGTTTAGTTTTTAGTTCAGCTGACGGTGGCGCAGCGCACCTTGAACTTGCGGTAGGGGCTGAAGTGGCGAACCTCCTCCACGTCGTACTGCTGGAAGAAGGGATGCGCCAGGGCCTGCTCCGCCGTGAAGCGCTTCTCTGGCTCCACTACAAGGAGGCGCGAGATCTGACATCGCGCATCGCCACGGAAACAACAGTGGCAAGTGATCGAGTCGTACGCACACACGTTGTACTTTTGCGCGGTACGTAAGCCAACTGCGCTAATCGGAGGTGCGGCGGAAGGGCAACAAACTAAACACACAAAGCAGTTCTAAAGCTGAGTTTGCAAGCTAGATTTACAAGTGCGTAGCTCCAAGTGGCTTCCCAATTTCACAATGTCAATGTAATTCCAGTAATAATGTAATTCCAGTAATACCGCAATTTACGTCTCCCCCTTCTACGTCGTTTAGAAAATATGTCGTCGCTTAATTCACACCACTCCCCGATTTGCACCGCCTCAACCCCACACTCACGTCGCCGACAGCATCATCGTCAGAGGTCGCAACCGGGTACCCGATACCCGTACCCTACCCGATACCCGGCTACCTGTACCCTACCGGGTACGGGTACGGGTACCCGTTTGTGACCCTGGTGCGGCCGGGTACGGGTACGGGTAGGCCATGAGTCACTGGTGAGTAACCGTTTGTCACTCATTTCGGGTAGGGTACGGGTACGGGTAGGGAACGGGTACCCATTTGCGACCCTGGTGCGGCTGGGTACGGGTACGGGTAAGGAATCAAAACCCGTTTGCGAACTCTGATCATCGTCCGTCCTTTCTCGTATCCGTCGCCTCTCAGCCTTCGCCTCCAGCTACGACCCTGTAAATTGCTTTGATTGACCTCGTTTCGATATTCGTTGTCGCACCCTTTCAGGAATGCATCCCCAACAAAAAGGATGTTACTGTATCATCATCATCATCATCGAGCGAGATCAATCCACTGCTGGATGAAGGCCTCTCCCCCAAAGCTGTCTCTCCACCTGTAACATTTTGCAATGTAATAATCCACCTAGCGCCCGCACACCAGAGACCGCTTTATTTGTCTTTTGAGATGACTAAAAAAAGCTGTCTCTGGTGTGGACCAATCAGTTTCAAAGACAATGCAGATATTATCAGAGTATGTTTTTTGTTTGCATTTTGACCACAAGTATTGTGGTTAATGCAGACATGATTCCTTGCAAAAGGTTTGAGTTTGGTGTTTTAACAACTTAACACCTGTTTTGTTGCCAGAAAAAAGGGGAAAACCTATCATAATTAAAATGGTTGCAAATTTAATTAATTGAAAAACTAATGTCCCCCTAATGGCAAACAAATGCCCACGTCGGGGTCCCTTCCACCCCCCCACCCCGGTTAAAATAAATTGCATTCCGAGACATTTGTAACATTATGGGAACAATATAAAAGCGAGTTATTTATTTATTCGAATATTTCACCCTGCAATATCCCTTGAGATGGAGCATCTTATTAGCGAGAGTGCCCAGAATGTCAACCGACGCAACGCTTGGCACAACAACAAAAAAACGAAAACAGCGTTCATCACAATCAGCGCGTCCAGGTGAGTAGCTTCTGCGCGTCGAATGCGGCAAAACGCCGTCTCTCCATGCAGGTCCGCCGAGCCACACGAAAACCCAGCAGAATCGACAACCGTCGACGCCATCCTCGAATCCGAGGGACAGGAGACGGGATATGATGGGAGCGACGCAAGACACCGGCTGTTGTTGGATCGTACTCGACACCACGCACCCACGTACCAGGTCCTTGACGGTGTCAGACCGATCCTCCCACTCGGGCGTGCTGAAGTCGTACTTGCCGTCCATGATGAGACGCAGCATGGTCATCTGCTTGCGATGCCAGAAGGGCGGGGAGCCGGCCAGCAGCGTGTACATGACCACGCCGCACGCCCACCTGCCAGGTGGCGCCACACGCCATCAAACACGATGGTCAAACAACAAGACGCACGGGCATGGCGGTGGTTACTGGCCCCTCATCCAGCAGTGAATTCTGTCAATCGATCGAGATTCACGACACGGCGTAATTCAGCAAAAAGCTGAAATGGAAGCGCGAATGGCAGAGGTCGCAATCGGGTACCCGATACCCGTACCCTACCTGATACCCGGCTACCCGTACCCGGCCGAGTACGGGTACCCGTTTGCGACCCTGGTGCGGCCGGGTACGGGTACGGGTAAGGAATCAAACCCCGTTTGTGACCTCTGGCGAATGGGCACTGATTTTTTTTTTACTTAAATTAATCTGAACAGAAGATAAAATACATTATTTTAGTCTGGTCTGAAAAGCACAGACTGTCGCGGCTGACCCGAGTGGACAGACCGCTCCAGCATGGACAAAAAGGGCTGTCCGTGTACATTACCACAGGCGAGCTCTTAAGACGATCGTGCTTACAGGTCGACCTCCTTGCCGTAGCCGGGGTGAGATTCATCCATGGAGCATTTGAGCAGCTCGGGAGAGAGGTAGCCGGGCGTCCCGCACAACTCTGCAGACACAAGCGGCATCGCCCACAAGTAAGTCTCAAATACGCCAAGTCTCAGCCCCCAAGGACTGTGCAGGTGTGCGCGGCTGCGCCTTCCAGCTCTCCCCCGGTGATTTCAGGTTGCACCGCGTGTTGTCCGACGTTTTGTTCCACGTGCTGTGGGAGCTTTTTTCAGGAACTGAGAGAAACGACGGATATGTATGTGTGTTGAACTTCTTTCGCACCGTACGTAGCCAACCGTGCTAATCAGAGGTGCGGGGGGGGGAAAGGACAATAAACCTAAACACAAAGAGTTCTACAGAAATTAGTTTTCAATCTACCATCGCAAAGGGTACAGGTGCAGCGCTGCAATTTCCTGCTCACGCCACTGCTTGCGAATAAGGTCTCCCCAACTGGAGGTGGTTCGTCACCAGAGCCTGCATCATTTATAAAGTGTTTGGCCTAATCATCCACAGGACAGAACAACACGTGGTACAACCCACATGTTTGTCCCTCTCCTCTTATTTCCCAACAACCCCCCCCCCCCCCCCAAAAAATATAAAAACCGACGCTCTCGCTCGTAATCCCGACGTGCGGTGCGTGTGGGACAGCGAGCACCAATCTCCTCCCCGTCTTTTGCCCCAGGAGTACCAAGTTCGGGACTGAGGTTCCGGAGTTTCCGTACCCCCAATCCCCACGTCGCGGTTTTTGCTCTGTACCGGGGCTCCTAGTCCCGTGGGAAACCTCGGCTACCTCGCAAGCGCTCGCCGGGCCGCAGCTGGATGGAGAAGCCAAAGTCGGAGAGGCGGATATTCATGTTGTCGTCCAGGAGGATGTTCTCCGGCTTGAGGTCGCGATGCACGATGTTCTTGGCATGCAGGAAGTGGACCACCTCGAAGATGGAGCGCATGATGTTCCTGAGGCAAACGGCGGAGCGCACGGCCACGCGGTCAGCGTTGGGAGATGCGATATTTAGGGATTAAGGGTACGGCACACGTGCAGGTTGACACTAAAATACGAGAGTACTCTCAAAATATAAAACATCTCTCTACTGCGATGGACCACTGCCTGAACGTCACCTATCATAGATGAATATATGTTTCCTGTTCGGGCAGTGCTGTGATGACGTGTGTTGGGTTTTTGTAATTTGTACGTATGCCCCACTGCCAATGAATCATTAGGAAATTAATGTTTAGAAAAATAATCAACGTCTTGAGAAAGACGTCCTTTATTCAATAGCATATCACTAATATGAGCCAAGAATGTCTGTGTGTAACGCGCGTGAGACAAAATACCAGGTTAGAGGCCTGGTGCAGTGGTTAGCGCGCTGCACGATAAACCAGGCGTGACACGTTTCAACCAAGTTTTCTGTGGTGCAACCCATTTATATGGCTGGGTTGACAGGAGCTGGGGGATTTAATAAAATCGCGAACTGCTTCAACTCCCGTGCCGGGAGATGGAGTCGAACCGGTGACCTCTGGAACGCAAGTCCAATGCGTTCACAGTTATCACCCAGAGTTCTGACAGGAATATCCACTTTTAGATTTGAAGCTTTCGTGACTGCAAGGATTCATACTCTTAGTTCTTTCGGTAAAGTCACGTAGGTAAATCTGGCTGTGACGGTCCCACCTGATGACAGAGACTTGTGTGTTGCCTCCGAAACGTCGTGATTTTTATTGTTTTATTTTTATTAATTTTAATTTCATTTTTTACCTACGTGACTTTACCGAAAGAACTAAGAGTAGGAATATCCACGACACGCCCCACAGCGGCCATTACGCCGCCGCAGTCGACTGTGCACGTAAAATGGCACGGGGCGGAACGCCGTGCGTATTCTTGTAACGATTGAAAAAAAATTAACCCGTAAAAACAAAGTTTTTCACTATAAATCCTTTATATGCGTGGCATCGGTTTTATTTTATTATTCATTTCTGTTTTTCTTGAGTAAGAGTTTCATTTTTATCACATTGGTATTTTAAATTAAATATTTAATTTTTGTTTTCCTAAAAAGTGGAAAATTTTGGAAAAAAATTTTCACGAAAATAAATTGTCACGCACAACGAGTCTGTGTGCAAAATGTCAGCTCGATTGGATCACGGGAAGTGGGTTAAAAAACGACCGAAAGATTTGCACGGTCGTAAGCGCGCAAGCAAGCAAGCAAGTGAACTTAATATAAAGGATTTAAAAACGCAAAACAGAGGCGGGATGCGCCACTTACCTGGTGTCCTTTTCACTCAACGCCACTTTCTCTGTCAGGTAGTCAAACAGCTCTCCCCTCTTCATCCTGCACGTGCACACATTGTTTGCAACACGGAACACACGTGCCCATGAGCACGCCATGTATGTTGAACTTTTACCGCAACGTACGTAGCCAAACGTGCTAATCGGAGGTGCGGGGGAAGAACAAACTAAACAAAAAAATGCAGTTCTAAAGAAATTAGCTTTTAATCGAGATGATTTAAAAGTGCATAGCTCTAGTGGCTTCCTAATATCGGAAGGAAGAGCGTTCGAGATGGCCACAAAAGCGCATCTGAACTCGTGCGATGCGGTAACTATCTTCGTATCATGTCTAACCAAAAGTCGCTGCGAGGATGACCAGAGTTCGTGTGATGGTTTATGCTCCTTGACGAAATCAGCAAAGTATTGTGGTACATTTGTCGCAAGCACTTTGTGCGATGTGGGGGGGTTGGGGCCATGATATTTCTTGTAAACATGATCCGATGTTGTTTGGCATCATGTAGGAGGAAACCAGAGCAGCTGGTGAAAACCCTCACAGATGAGACGGGGTAACAGTCAATGCTCTGCACAGATGGATTCGTGATGCAATTGGTGTACTGCCATCTCACAGCTCCCTTGCACCCCAAGCAAAACACATCTGGCATTTCCTGGCAATCTCCCAGAGCGTGCAATGAGGTTTAATACTGACCGTGCCAAGAGGTCAGAGCTCCGACCTCACTTAGGATTGATTTGGCCCAGCAAGGCTGCTTTAGCAACATATGCCTTTTTTCCACTGCACGTCTGAGCCGTGCTGGTGCCATGGCGAGCGAGTACGGTGCATCTCGGCAAGATTCCGGTTGTTTTTCCACTTCAGAAGCCAAACCGGGCCGCTGAGGTCACGCTCAACTAATGAGTCGCGACGTAATGTAGATGTCGTGGTGACGTTGTGTCCTTACGTTGTGTCCTTGCAGTGCCGTGACGTCTAATGACGTCACACAGGTCACAACCGTGTCACACATAACAACGGAAATAATAAACTACCACCTCTAGCCCCACTTGGCTCCGAACCAGATTCAGATGTCTCGTGAGGTGAGCAATTCAGTGTTGGCTCGGCAAATAGCCAGACAGTGTACCGCAAATGCCCTCGCGCTGGCCAAGCTTGGATGTGCCAGTGGAAAAGAGGTATTCAGCAGATTCACGTTTGGGGGGGGGGGGGCACTGAACAACGTGTAGAGAGTGCAGCGGGGTGAGCGGTGACCTTTGCGTCACTCTAAACTAAACTAGTTTTTATTTTACCAGGTAAAGCCCACCGAGCGATACAGCTCTTTTTCAGAAGCGACCTGGCCACAAAATAATAGCTCAACGAAGTGGCTGATCGTGTGGAAATTTATAGCAGCCAAATACTTTAAACGTGTGATGTTGATTCTAAATGCGGAATGAAAAGCCGGAGGAGCCGGAGAAAAATCCACGCGACCACAGGGAGAACATGCAAACAAAATATACAGGCGAAATAATAAAAAGAACAGAGCGGTCGGAAAGACAGCATCCAGGATGCTGTCACCTGAGGACGGCTGCTTGCGTTGTGGCCGAAACGTCGTGAGAATTGTATTATGTTTTATTTGTATTATTTTATTATTTCCCTTCTACGTGACTTTACTGAAAGAACCAAGAATATGAATCCCTGCAGTCACGAAAGCTTTAAATCGAAATTTAAATATACAGGCATCAGTGTCGGGATCAAACACACGACCTCCTCCATACTAGGCGAGGTAGTTAACATCTGGCCACAGCGGAGCCCCTATGTGTTCATATTCTTAGGTTTTTTCGGTAAAGTCATGTAGATAAAAAATTATTTAAATTTATAAAAGTCAAATAAAAATTAATAAAAATCACGACGTTTCGGAGGCAACACAAGCTTCCATCTTCAGGTGGAACAGTCACAGCACGATAGCTGTATCAAGTGAGAGAAATTCCAAGAACACAGTATTTGTATATATACTGGTTGAGGGTGGGAGGAGCCAAGGTAGGCCCTGAATATAATTTTTGTGAGGTTCGGTGTGGCTGAAGCACGCTGTTAGGAATGAGCCTTTGTTGTGTAAACTCGGTGCGGATGATGTAAAGGTGCAGTGTAAAAATGGACTAAGGAAAAAACCGAAGGATCTGAATCCTTGCAGTCACGAAAGCTTCAAATCTAGAACCCCTATTTGTTGTAAAAGATGATCCAAATGTCTACTCACAGGTCAAACACCAGGAAGAAGAAGGTGCTGGACTCGTAGGCGTCTATGAGGGTAACTGCAAAAGAGCGAGGAAGGAGTGTCACAGGAGGCAGCATACTTCACCATTTCGGGTCAACAGAAACTCAAGGCAGTTGTCAATAACACCACCATGAACTAGAACATATCTCTTCTTGGTTCTTTCGGTAAAGTCACGTCGAAGGGAAATAATAAAATAATAAAATTAAACATGATAAAATAATTGTCGCGACGTTTCGGCCACAACGCAAGCAGTCGTCCTCAGGTGAATTACAGGTCTGTCGGAAAGACAGCGTCTGAATGAACACCATGTAATGGCTGGCACCACCAGGCTTGGTGGTGTTTCATTCAGACGGTGTCTTTCCGACAGACCTGTTCTTCACCTGAGGACGGCTGCTTGCGTTGTGGCCGAAACGTCGTGACAATTATTTTATAATGTTTTATTTTTATTATTTTATTCTTTCCCTTCTACGTGACTTTACCGAAAGAACCAAGAAGATGAATCCCTGCAGTCACGAAAGCTTTAAATCGAAAAGGAACATATCTCTTTAAGTAAAGTACTGGAGATAACGGTGCAGGAAAATGACCCTTCATCGTACCAGAGGGATAGGGAGAGGTCAGATTGATTTGAGTGAATAATAGTTGGGGATTCTACTGCACAGCATGGGGTCCCGATATAATTATATTTAATAATGTGTCTAGATGAACAGTCTCAACGCGTGTGACGACATGGCGTGTCGCCACTGTGATCCGGCGGTTAGAATCCCAGGTTCGAATGCGAGGGGTTCAGCGCTGCTATTCAAAGAAAACAAAAATGCACATTTGTGGTGAATGCAGCAACTGTGATTAAAGCAGGTGCTCAAGTTGAGGCATCGATGGCCTCCATTTCAGTCACCAAAGACACCATGACAACAACAACAAAACCCTCTCAAATCGATGTGGCTGAATTCCACCTCTGAGAATTGACGATATGGGTTTGACACTTTCTCTCTCTCTCTGTAGCAAGGTGGATGGTCAGGTGCTGCCTCCTAGTGTCGCCAAGAGAACAAATGTAGCAATTTCCAAAGCGATTCCGTTGTTTTGTACCTCCTGCCACTGTAATTCTTATGTATGTTGAACTTCTCTCGCACAGTACGTAGCCAACCGTGCTAATCGGAGGTTCTGGGAAGTACAACAAACTAGCACAGGGACATATACTGCTCTACAGCAGTTCCGAATGGATTCTTCAAACAGGACATGACCTCCAGAACATCTATTCTTATTACCCACATTTTCGAGTTACTATCGGCATAGACTCGCCTGCATTTATGCCAAATTTTAGCATTGTATCCCTTCTAGAAGATCATTAGAATTCATGTCACTCACTCGCACGGTTGTGATTCTCTACAGCGTATGCATGTGATGGCTGAACCAGATTCATCACTCAGAGCCAAGAAAAACTTGAAAACTTGTCACTTGGTCTCCTAGAACAACGTTTAAAGCCATCGATCTTGAAAAAAGTGGCCTTACCTTCCGACTAATTAATATCAAGGGTCTGGCATTGAAAACAAAGACTGTCGTTTTTATCCAAGTCAGTTTTTCTCTAAAGACTTTTTTTCTACAACTTAGAATCGCCGCTATAGCAACCGCACATTCCGGATCTATCCGTGGTCACTTTGTATGTATGTTGTTGAACTTCTTTTGCACCATACATAGCCAACCATTGTGTTCCCTCAGCCACTCATTCAAGGTCCAATGAAGGAGCTACCAAGCTTTTCCTTGTCTTGAAGATGCTCGACCATTTTAGAACTACACCTGGAACGAGTGGCTACCTCCTCTATAAGTGGTGAAATAAGGAAGTCAGATAATTACAGCAGGGGCCAAGTACGATCCATAGATTACATCACATTGCATTGTAAATCACGGATCTCTCTCTGGGTGTGTGGGTCTCTATGCAGGGATATATGTCTTTACACGAGTCTCTGGGTGTCTTTGTAAGTCTGTATGGGGTCTGTGCGAGTTTGCGTGTCCAATGTGAGTCAATGGGTCTCTCCCGTCAGTCTAAGGGTCACTATATAACTCTATAGGGCTCCATATGAGTCTACGCGAGTCTCCGTCTTAAGTGGGGAACTAAGGAGTTAATTGTGACCTCAGCGAAGTACAATCTACCACTCTCACCACCAACCATTCACTCTTGTGCAGGAATCCGTTTGGTAACCCAAGACACCACCGAATGGCTTTACAATTTCAATGCACAAAATGCGTTTGTTGCTTTTAATATCCCTATACAAAGTATTAAAAACAACAAAATCCACGTTGGAGAATTTCAAACAGGGAGGCACAATCTGCCCTTCTCTCTTGAGTACGGTACACAAAGTCTAAATTACTTAGCCGAGCTAAACATGTTTTTAACGGGTTTGCGCTGTCGATGATAAACAGGTAAAGGTGCACCTCTGGAATTCCCTGCTCATGCCACTGATGGCAGAGGGGCCTCCACTAGAGAGCTCGAGACAGCCTCTCGACGAGTTATTTGGCCTACTTTTCCGCGCTTGCCAGACGTCTTTAAAAAAGTGGAAGTGCCCCGACTTCATCCCTAATGCAAGCAAGCTGCCCATCGACTGTGATGATTTACAGGATAGGGGCTCATACTCTTTGGTTTTTTCGGTAAAGTCACGTAGGTAAAAAAGAAAGTAAATAAATGAAAACAACTAAATTAAATCACTGACGTTTCGGGCGCAACACAAGCGTCCGACATCAGGTGAGAAAGCATGGCCTACTGCTGATGCAGACTGTTTTAAAAACAGTCTTTGCAGTCACGAAAGGTTCAAATCTAGAAGGATAGGGGCTGTAAATGTCACAGTGCTAGCATGATGGGCCTCATGCGTCAGTCGACTATTTTTAAGCGGCTCGAACTTTGAATGATCCTCAGATTGCCACATGTACGTGGATTCAATTCCACGTACATGTGGCAACGCGATGGCACGGCTCTCCCTCTCAAAGAAGGGGCACTCTCAGAATCGCTACATTTTTCCAACGCCATGTATTCACTCCAATTATGTCATCGTAATCCGTATCACAGATGTGTGTGTGTTTTTAACAACGTATCAGTATCCCTCAGGGGAGCGGAGTGGCGGCGCAGTGGTTCGTGCCGCTGTGACCTCGGCAACGTACAATATGCAGGAACATTTATTTACCCAGGAAAGCCTCAAGAGTCTGAAGATACATTTTCAGAAGTGTCCTGCTAAGTTTCACTGTCGGCGGAATATATTTTAATGTATTTTTACAACTGCGTAATTTGCTAATCATTTTGTTAAATTTGGTTAAAGTTTTGCTCGCTAAATTTCCGGCTGCGACTAACATCAGTGGCGACTGGCATCTGAGTCGATCCTGGCCCTCCCACTTCACCAACCCGCACTGACCAGAGTGGAGAAGTATAGTCAAACAACCCCCATGACCGACATGGCCTGGGGAGGCCCTTCATCCAGCAGAGGATTTTAAATGGCCTTTAAAATTGATATAATTGTTTTACAGTATCTCTCCGTTGCTCGCATTCAGAAAAGCATACTATTTAAGGTGGACAGCTGAGCTGTTAGACTGTCACCGGATGAACATAGCACTGTGTGAATTTGCATAATTGGCAGCAACTTGAGAGTGGCGTGGAAAAGTAACGGAAGACAGAGGCAATGTAAGGCAAACCAAAGCAAATCAAATCGCCCCGAGTGAGCCCCATGCGTCGTAAGTTTAGGCTGCGAAAGCGGCCATGTAATGGCAGCACAGCAATAGATTGAATCCATCTGTGCAGAGGTTTGAGTGTTGTCCCCTCATATTTGTGGTGGGATTTCTCCAGGGTGCTCGTTTTGTCCGGCCTGCTGAACACTCATTAAATGGCACTTGGGCTGAACATCTACTTTATGATGGTACTGTAGAAATAATTGATATGATTAGTCAGAGTCGTATTTAAGTCAATAATACAGAAATTAAGTTTGCATAATCCAATATATAAAAAAATAAATCTGTTGCAGGTTCAGTTACTGTTGACGAAAGGTCTGCTGCGTAATATCCACGCTTTCCTGGATAAATAAAAGGGCATTATTAATTATTAGCTTGGAGTGGTTGTTTGTGGCGTGGTAATACAAGTACTGTATTAGTGTGAAATGTGAGCTTGCGTGTACTCTTCTATGAGCGTACACATTCATATGACCCTGTCTATACCCGCAGCTGAGCAAACAAATGCGGACGAGCACATCAGCTCCTCACATTTACAACAAAGCTCATCATCATCATCATTCTCCAAGGTCAATCCACTGCTGAATGAAGATCTCCACAAGCCTGTGCCATCTCTTGCAATCCTGCAATGTGACAATTTGCCTAGCACTTGGACACGAGTTGATTTCATCGCTCCATCTCCTGGCTAGGCATCTTATCGAATCACTTCCGTTCCTTGGCTACCGCTGCGTCATTATTCCTGACCAATGGCAGTCATCCTCAAGGCCATATAATAATAATTACTATTATTTGGGCTTGGGGAATAGGACACAATGTTCAATCGAGAACTCAGAGGCGCAGAGCTCAAAGTTCCTCATATGCCGGCTTGAAGGGGTGAGAGCCTGGACAGGTGAGAGCGTCGATGGGTAAGAACCTAACAGGTGAGAACCTGAATGGGTGAGTCTGAACAGATGAGAGCCTGAACAGGTGAGAGCCTGAACAGGTGAGAGCCTGAATGGGAGAGACCCTTGAGCTTCCACTTGAAGGTGGACGATGCTCGGATGCTTTGACTGTGCAGCAGGAGAGAGTCCCAGACGGCTCGTGTGGCTACGGAGAGACGCCGATCAGCCATATCCTGTACCGGTTGAACGATGTCCATGACCTGTTCTCTAATCCCTGTGCTACTCCTCCTGTGCCTCAGTGTAATTCCAAGCGTGCGTGTGTCCACGCTTCTTTGCACACCTTTCAGCTTTTGTTCCGTTTTTTTGTGAATATGGAACGGGCGACGACCTCTGCACAACCAGTGCAGTGTGCTAAGCATTACACCACGGCAGAATCCCTGCGTAAGGATAATAAACGGAAAATAGCCACTGTGATTTATTAATACAGTGCTTGCAAAGGACATCCGAGGGTAAGCGATGCTGCCCGTCTATTTATTTATTTCAGGCCCGTTGCATAACAATAGCCCACGGGAAAGTATTCGCTCGTGGGTACAAATTTTGGATGTTTCATTGTCCATGGCTGAGTAGCGTACTGTAACTGAGAATTCCATGCTCGTGCTAGGTCACAAGCAGTTTTGCAACTTATATAATACGCTTACCACGAAATATATAAATAGCCAATGGCACTTTTAGAATTCGTTCCAGGGTTTTGAGTGACAACACCACGGCGTTGAACACAAAGTTTTGGCTGTGGATTTGATCTCCCGGAAGAGTTTTATTGTGGTTCTTTTTTTTTCAGGTATGTGCTGATGCATTTTAGAATCAGAATCTTTCTTTATCCTGGATAAATACGATTAGCTATAAAGTTATTTATCACAGATGTCCAGTCGGGGCAGGTCAGAAAGTGAATCATCCGCTACGACTATAATTAAATGCAAATGTAAATGTATTTCATGCCGTGGTTATGAAATCATAAATCTATGTCATGATATCTGTACTGGATCTGGGTCTTTCCCTCACCGTTCACCATTAAACCCGCCATTGACCAGCTTGGTGAAGTATGGTCAACAAACCCTCATGAACGACAGAAGTTGTCTGATAAAGGGTTGTAAATCATTGTCATTATTATTATGACAGGAATGGAACTTATCCCATCACGTCCGCCGGGGAGATGGAGTGATGAAATCAGCTTGTGTGCACAGGTGCGAGGTGGATAATTACATTGCATGATCGAGATTTTTATATGGCTGATGATGACGAAGATTATTCAATTAGGATTATTTCCTAATTGTGTCCGCCTGTCACAGTATTCATCACGAGGGTATTTTTTTTGTGATAGCTTCCATTGATGACTCATCATCATCCCGATCCATGGATAAATAGCCCGTAGGTGTTCACTGCTCATTTTATAATTTGTTTCCACTTTCCTCTGTCTTGTGCCAGTGTGCATAAGTAGTGCCACATCTTTCTGGAACAAATCTATCGTCGTCGAGCAATTCTCTGTTAGGTTTTCCTATATTTCCGGTTCCTTCCAATTTTTCCAAACAACATACTTTTAATTATCCTGTAGTTGTCCATCCTACACGTGTGTCCAAATAGCGCCAGTTTCCTTATCATCACTGCCTGCATCATCAGGTCTTCCTCTATGTGCAACCTTTTTCTTACTTCTACGTTGGTCACTCTTTGGGTCCAACTTAGATGCAGTTATCTTTCTGGCCGCTAATCTTGCAACGGTAACCCCCTTGGACGTTTTTGGTGACGGTGTGAGATTTTGAGGCTTGAAGGTTCGGTGGGAACTCACTGATGTGGGGGTGGCCCGAGACCGCCTTGAGGATGTCCACCTCCTTTACGGTAGAGCTGTAGATGTCCTCCAGCTCCTCTTCGCTTAGGCGCTCGGGCGTGATGTCTATGATCTTCACGGCGAAGTCCTGCCCCGTGCGCTTGTGCACGCATCTCCGCACCACGCTGCTCACGCCACTGCACCGCACGGACACCGTGAGAACGATGAGAAGCAGTTCGTAACCACGACGCGAATAATCAAATCGGTAAATAATGACAAAATTCGTAACAGAAAGTTAGCGCGAGTTGCAAAATAATTGTTATGACTAGCGGCACATCGTCCTTTGAGCGTGACCGTCCCTCCCTTTCTCCCTCACTCCATCCAGCGAGCAAAACCTTTTTCGAATATAGTATGATATGATAGCACTGCTGCTCCACAGTGGTGCAAACAAAAATAAAATCACAAATTACAGCCCTTTCAATCCACTCCTGGATGAAGGCTTCCCCACACTGTCGGCATCCATTCAATTCTTACAAAGCCACAATTCCATCTCACACCTGCACAGGAGCTGATCTCACCACTCCGTCTCCGTGATGGTTGTCCTCGTGGGTGTTCCTTTATAATAATCTGTCACCAGTCCAGTCCATCGGCAATCATCCCTTCTCGTGTTCTAAAACGTGTCTCTGCATTAAGAATAACCAGTCAGGTGGCTCAGTGGTAGTGTGGCTCACAACCAGGAGGCAACTCCTGAGTGGAGATTGACTCAGCCCATCATCCTTTTGAGGTCAATAAAAGGAGTATCGCTTTGTGGGGAAGTCGACATGGCTTGTCCTATAGAAAGCCTTGCCTCTGTCATAGCAATGTGGAATTTACTGCAACTGGCTGAGGGCTGTCAACAGATGAGCGATGCCTCAATGCTCAATAGAGCAGGAAATCACTTTCACTTAAACTATTGGGAACAGGACTGCATCATAAAGGCTCGTGAGTAGAGAAACAAGGGGTTAATTTGGGCAGATTTTGTTATTTTTGCGTAAGTGACATTACGGTATCTGTCTCACTCATCTGTTGGATAACCTAACCAAGTTTCCTTCCCAGTAAGGCACTGCATTGGTTTGTTTACAGAACAATGCATCCCGATTAGAAATTGAGATTAGGAACAGCACGCACCAATTTCCAGGCCATTATAACCACTCGTGCACATAACATGCCTACCTGTGATTAATCAGATGGCAGGATAACCTCACCACCATGTACTATGGGAGAAAAAAAAGGCCTTAACAGACTGTTGCGGCAAGTACTGTCAGCGAGCAACTATGAAGGCTGGCATGGCACACGAGGGCAATACTTTCGATTTAAAGCTTTCGTGACTACAGGGAATCATATTCTTGGTTCTTTCGGTAAAGTCACGTAGAAGGGAAACAATAAAATGTTTTATTTTAATTATTTTATTATTTTCCTTCTACGTGACTTTACCGAAAGAACCAAGAATATGAGGGCAATACTGTTTATAAATTCAGCATAGGGGACCATTTGGCCCATGGGACCTTGTGTAGGTGGACCTACCTGAACACTCAAAAGCTACGCCACAGATCCCACATCAAGTCACAGCGGAGCTCAGCCGGCGAGCAGTGGGCCCAGAACCCTTTGGAATGCACGAGCTGGTTGGTGTCTGTTGTCTAGGGGCTACCTCGGGCCTAGCTCGGTTATCTCCCCTTGTCCAGCTCACCTGCCGAGGACCTCCTTTGGTTCGTATTTGTCGTTGAAGTCCTGCGCCGCAACCGGCTCTGTGTGATCGCCATCGGGAATGGCGAGGTCACGCGTCATACCTGCACACCGGCGTCTTCGACTTCACCTTGGGAAGGAAACGAGAGGAAGGGGGAGGGGGGAAACTATTACGCACACACACCACCCTTCTGTCGGTCCGCTGCTGGATGGTGGCATCTACGCACCGCGTGGGTAGTGAATGAAAACAAATATTCACGAAGATAATCTCACGCAGTTTTAGACGTTTGTAAACTCTCTTCCAGTTCCTCTCTATATTTAGTTGAGAGTTGGCAATAAGGAAGTTTTGCAACATGTAAAAAAATCACAAAAGTTTTGGTAGACAAATTTGAGGTACTCGTAGTATTTGAACCGAAAAATGTCACGGGAACATATAAACTGCACTACTGCAGAGTATATACTGTATCTCAGAATTTTTTTTACTAATATGAGCCAATAATGTGTGTCCCGCGTGTGACGTCACTCCACATGAGGCCCACCCCAACTCAGTAATAATCATGAGTGGGTGCATTTTTACACTAACGCAGAGGAAGGTCGAGCTGAATAAAAACATTTATTACGCAAAGTCGCTTCAAATGTGACGTTTCTTTACAGAAAGTGACAGTAAAAAATAAATCTACGCAGCACAGTGCTACATACGTGCGTGACGTCACTGCAAAATAGGGCTTCATTAATATTCATGCCCGCGTGGAAATAACGTACAAGGTCGTGCACTCCACATGCAGCACCCCTCCCCAATAACCATGAGCGGGTGACGTCACTCCACATGCTGCACCCCCCAATAACCATTAGCGGGTGACGTCACTCCACATGGGGCAACCCCCCCCCCCTCATTAATAATCATGAGCTAAACAATTTTCCTATTGAATATTTCAGATGTGATGCTATATAAACCCGTCCTTGGACGGGCAAAAAAGTTAGTAATAAATATAATCATAAGCCATGGTTAATATAGTGCTGGACAAAGGCCTCCTCCAGTAAATACGGGAATTGGTCAATACAAAAATAGGAACGAGGTGGTTGGAAATAACAGCTGCCACTAAGGAGGCAGTGGGGGAAAATTTTGAATTACCCTGTAAATTTTTACACTAAGTTCAATAGACAGGAATTTTATGCCGTGCATAGTATCTATAAGTACTGTATACATCTAGAATCATTTGTAAATCCACTGCTGGATGATAAGCACCACCCCACGGCCGTGTCGATCATGCGAGTAGTACAACATGAGCCAATTATAGTACACATGCGCACAAACATCCCCGTGTAGGATTAACAGACTGTTAGCGAGCACCTATGAAGGCCGGAACGGCACACAAGGAGATGGGGGGGGGGGGGGTAGCCAGCCCCACGCCCGGCCGCCTTTGTCTCCCTTATTGCGATGTTTACAAACCAGACCAGGTACTCAATTGAGGCTAAGTTGACATAGGGGAGAAGGCCCAGGACCGGTTCAGATAATCGCCACCGGTGATGGCCGGGAGCGGGAATCGAACTCGTGTGCTAACCGCTGCACCACCGCTCCGCACGTGTACAAAGACAAAGATCCCCCGTGTAGCCTTCACAGACTGTTGGGGCAAGTGCTGTTCGAGCGAGCACAACAACAGCTCCTTTAAAGTTGCACGTGCATTCAGCACGACCTGCTGCTGTTGTTGTTGTTGTTTGTGTGTTCTCCCATCGCTATGGTTTCAAAAAGGGCCGCAACAAAGTGTCGCGAGAGAGCAAGTTATGTAATGCACAATGACTTCGTACCTAGGCAACCGACCATGCCAATCGAATGTGTGCTGGCGGGAAAGACAACAAACCAGAGGTCGCAACCGGGTACCCGATACCCGTACCCTACCCGATACCCGTACCCGGCCGGGTACGGGGTACCCGTTTGCAACCCTGGTGCGGCCGGGTACGGGTAGGCCGTGAGTCACTGGTGAGTCACCGTTTGTCACTCATTTCCAAACGTCTTGTCTCTTCTCACAATTCAAGTTCCTAGAATCAACCCACCCGCTCCTGCAACATGGCTTCATCCCAGAGGTCGCAATCAGGTACCCGACACCCGTACCCTACCCGTACCCAGCCGGGTACGGGTAGGGTGCCCGTTTGCGACCCTGGTGCGGCCGGGTACGGGTAAGGAATCAAACCCCGTTTGCGACCTCTGCAACAAACCATGTTTAACTTCTTTCGCACCGTACGTAGGCAACCGTGCTAATCGGAGGTATGCGGGGGACAACAAAACTTCAACACAAAGAGCAGTTTCTCAACAGAGTGTTCAGTCGATCATCGCAAAGGGTAGAGGAGCAGCCCCGCAATTGCCTGCTCACGCCACTGCCGGCGGATAAGGTCTGCCCCCCCACACAACTCGTCACCACGCACCAGCTACAAGTCTACAACAACGACGTGTCCTTGGCATAATCGTCCAAACGTCGCTGTTAGATACAATACGCGCGAGTACTCACTTTACCCCACCACGCGCGATGATGGTGAGGATGCTTTGGATGGGCAGAGACGGGGAGAGAGATCTCGGATTCAACTCGGCGAGAAATCGAAATCAAATGACCTCTTAGCACCACAACTGCCCTGTTGGTTCCGCTAAGCATCACACCACGTGGCAGCAAACCCTGCATTACGAAACACGGTAACGTTGTGTATTCGTCTCAAGGGTTACACTGCGATGGATAAATAATTGAACGCGAGGTCCAATGCTGAGCTTCCGCGTGGATTGTGTTGACAGTGAAGAAGGTCACACATTCTGTGACTTGCCACGAACTTAATGGCTAAACGTGCGATGTTTAAACCCACGACAATGACAGTCGTGACAAACGTAATAAGTAATATTTAAAAATGCTTTTTAACAACACGCTTTAATTAAATGTACTAGTAATGGAAGAACTCCACGACTCCAGGAAGTGGCCCAGAGGCTTGCCATAACGTAAGGGACAATTAGACCCAAGCCGAAACATAACATATATAAAAAATGTTTAAACATTATTTTTTTTTACATTTTTGATAGAATATGGTATTGTCATCAGTATGAGAGAAGTATACCAAGTTTGCAGTCGATAGCATATTGTGAAGTGGGTTAAAATTGAGTTACAAGATTTGAGGATACGACAACAACGACAACAACGCCAACAACAACAACGACAGCAACAACAACGACAGCAACAACAACCACAACAACGACGCCGACAACAACAACGCCAACAACGACAACAACAGTTAAATAAAAGCGTGTACAGTAATAATAACAACAACCACAGCAACAACAATCACAACAACGACAACAACAGAGTTAAATAAAAGCGTGTACAGTAACAACAACAACAACCACAGCAACAACAATCACAACAACGACAACAACGACAACAACTGAGTTAAATAAAAGCGTGTACAGTAATAATGACAGCAACAACAACCACAACAACGACGCCGACAACAACAACGCCAACAACGACAACAACAGTTAAATAAAAGCGTGTACAGTAATAATAACAACAACCACAGCAACAACAATCACAACAACGACAACAACAGAGTTAAATAAAAGCGTGTACAGTAATAATAACAACAACAACCACAGCAACAACAATCACAACAACGACAACAACGACAACAACTGAGTTAAATAAAAGCGTGTACAGTAATAATGACAGCAACAACAACCACAACAACGCCAGCAACAACAACAGCAACGCCAACAACAACAACAACGCCAGCAACAACAACAGCAACAACAACTGAGTAAGATAAAAGCGTGTACAGTAATAATAACAACGCCAACAACAACGACAACAACAACGCCAACAACAACAACGACAACAGCAACAACAACAACAGAGTTAAATAAAAGCGTGTACAGTAATAAACATTCACACCAACACCGGCAGTGACGATCATAACCGGAGGGCACCGGACCTCCCCTAGGTAGACTCGGCCTCAAACGAGTACCGGCGCGTCCGCAAATCATCGCCCCAATCTTGGGGAGACAAAGGCGGCCGGGCCTAATAGGTGCTCGCTAACAGCACCCCCCACAACACTCTGTCTGTGACAGGCCACTTTGTATTGCGACTATCCAAACGTATAACAATGTAATGGTGTTCAAACACGTATCCTCCATTTAAATACGTTGTGTTTAACGTATATTGTACTGCACAATGTGAATAAATCACGGTATGTGCGATGGCAAATTACCGTAGTGCCATGCAAACTGCACCTACGTACGGTGCGAAAGAAGTTCAGCGCACAGTACATAACGAAAACCGACTGTACAACGCATACAGATGGAGAGGAGACAGTGCAAGCAGGCTTCATCATCATCATCATTGCAATTGTACCCAGAGCACACGACTGGCTACACTTAGCGCCTGTTAAACATCTAAAATAATACAATCTGACTCACCTCGAGAAGAATCAGCCCGTGTCGGATTTGGCGAACAAAGATTCAGAACCTCCTTCTCTCTTGCCCGCAACAACAACAACAACCACCACCACAACAACACAGACAGAGAGATTCTACACGGATCTCGTTCTATGCGAATCTCTCATCCTTTCCCTCATTCAATGCCGGCTACTCTCCCCCAACAATCCCCCTCGCACGCAGTCGTCCTTCACACAGCCCGCCCAGCCCCCACCCACTCATCCCTCACTCCACCCTCACTCCACCCACACTCCTCCTACTTCCCCCACCCACCCACACTCCTCCCCCCACCCCCCCTCTCACTCCTGCCCCCCTCCTCCTCACTCCTCCTCCTAACTCCTCCTTCTTCCCCCACCCCCTCACTCCTCCTCCTTCCCCACCCACCCCACCCCTCCTCCTTCCCCCCACTCCTCCTGCTTCCCCCACCCCCTCACTCCTCCTCCTTCCCCACCTATCCCACCCCTCCCTCCTCCTTCCCCCACTTCTCCTCCTTCCCCACCCACTCATCCTTTCCCCCACCCACCCCTCTCACTCCACCCACCCCCTTACTCCTCCTCCTTCCCCACCCACCCTCACTCCTCCCCCCTCCTCCTTCCCCCACCCACCCCCTCACGCCTCTCTAACTCCTCCTCCTTCCCCCACCCACCCCCCACTCCTCCCCCCTCCTCCTTCCCCCACCCACCCCCTCACTCCACCCACCCCCTTACTCCTCCTCCTTCCCCAACCCACCCCCCACTCCTCCCCCCTCCTCCTTCCCCCACCCACCCCCTCACGCCTCCCTAACTCCTCCTCCTTCCCCCACCCACCCCCCACTCCTCCCCCCTCTTCCTTCCCCCACCCACCCCCTCACTCCACCCACCCCCTTACTCCTCCTCCTTCCCCAACCCACCCCCCACTCCTCCCCCCTCCTCCTTCCCCCACCCACCCCCTCACGCCTCCCTAACTCCTCCTCCTTCCCCCACCCACCCCCCACTCCTCCCCCCTCTTCCTTCCCCCACCCACCCCCTCACTCCACCCACCCCCTTACTCCTCCTCCTTCCCCAACCCACCCCCCACTCCTCCCCCCTCCTCCTTCCCCCACCCACCCCCTCACGCCTCCCTAACTCCTCCTCCTTCCCCCACCCACCCCCCACTCCTCCCCCCTCTTCCTTCCCCCACCCACCCCTCACTCCTCCTCCTCCCTAACTCCTCCTCCTTCCCCATCCACCCTCTCACTCCATTTCCCCTGCCCCCTCCTCCCCCCCGCAATGGAGGCTCCGTGCGTCACAGAGCACGATGATGATGGTGGTGGTGGTGGATAGGGGGGGTGGTGGTGGATGGGGGGTGGTGGTGGATGGGGGGTGGTGGTGGATAGGGGGTGGTGGTGGATGGGGGGTGGTGGTGGATAGGGGGGTGGTGGTGGATGGGGTGGTGGTGGTGGATGGGGGGTGGTGGTGGATAGGGGGGTGGTGGTGGATGGGGGGTGGTGGTGGATGGGGGGGTGGTGGTGGATAGGGGGTGGTGGTGGATGGGTGGTGGTGGTGGATGGGGGGGTGGTGGTGGATGGGGGGTGGTGGTGGATGGGTGGGTGGTGGTGGATGGGGGGGGGTGGTGGTGGATAGGGGGTGGTGGGGGATGGGGGTGGTGGTGGATGGGGGGGGGTGGTGGATAGGGGGTGTGGTGGGGGGGGGTGGTGGATGGGGGGTGGTGGTGGATGGGGGGTGGTGGTGGATGGGGGGGTGGTGGTGGATAGGGGGGTGGTGGATGGGGGTGGTGGTGGATGGGGTGGTGGTGGATGGGGGGTGGTGGTGGGATGGGGGGGTGGTGGTGGATAGGGGTGGTGGTGGATGGGGGTGGTGGTGGATGGGTGGTGGTGGATGGGTGGTGTGGTGGATGGGGGTGGTGGTGGATAGGGGGTGGTGGTGGATGGGGGTGGTGGTGGATGGGGTGTGGGGTGGGGGGGGGGTGGTGTGGATAGGGGTGGTGGTGGATGGGGGGTGGATGGGGGTGGTGTGGATAGGGGGGGTGGTGGATGGGGGGTGGTGGTGGATAGGGGGTGGTGGTGGATAGGGGGGTGGGTGGATAGGGGGGGGGGGGAGGGGGGGGGGTGGTGGGATGGGGGGGGGTGGTGGATGGGGGGGGGGGGGGGGGGTGGTGGGGATGGGGGGGTGGTGGTGGATGGGGGGTGGTGGTGGATGGGGGGGTGGTGGTGGATGGGGGGGTGGTGGTGGATGGGGGGTGGTGGTGGATGGGGGGTGGTGGTGGATGGGGGGGTGGTGGTGGATGGGGGTGGTGGTGGATGGGGTGGGGTGGATGGGGGGTGGTGGTGGATGGGGGGGTGGTGGTGGATAGGGGGGTGGTGGTGGATAGGGGGGGTGGTGGTGTATAGGCGGGGTGGTGGTGGATGGGGGGTGGTGGTGGATGGGGGGGTGGTGGTGGATAGGGGGGGGGGGGTGGTGGATAGGGGGGGTGGTGGTGGATAGAGGGGGTGGAAGTCTCCGTCGAGAAGACAAGAAATGCGATCCACCGCTTATTTTGGGCTGCCCACTCAGTCCGTGCCTCTGGTTCTGCCCGAGTTGAGGAGCTGTGTGCCCGCCCGGTGCCCGCCCTCTCTCACAGCTACAAATGCTGGTAAACTGAACAGAGAGAAACAATTAATATTACAAATATTACATAGAAAACATAGGGGGGACATAGACATGGAGTAGAGAGAGGGGGTAGAGAGAGAGAGTGGGGGTAAGAGCAGAGCGTGAAATCTTTCATTTAAAAAGGGGGGTTAACAGAAAGCAAAACATTAAAAAAACGAAATGATGAACGAAGCAAAGTGCCGACTACACCGAGCATCTTGTTTTCTCTGATTGTAAAAGAAGAGAGATATAGCAAGATGCCAGGATGTGTGTGTACCTGTGCTTTGATGTTGGCACAATTGGGGGAGGCACGGGTGGTGCATCTGGCAGTCATCTCAGTCAGTCAACCCATGGCACCACCAGGGTCTGACCCCGTGTCCTCCTGCCAGCGGGCGTTCGACGCTTCGCGTGGCCTTAAAGTGCACCTAGCCTGGCACGAGCGCCATGCAGACGTTATCGCCACTTGCTGGTGGTTGTTGTGGTTTTGTGGAGTGGTTCGTGTGCGCTGCGCTACGAACCCAGAGACTCGAGTTCGATTCCCGTTCACGGCCACCAAAACCAGTGACGAATTATCTGAACCGGTCCTGGCCCCCCTCACTCCCTAGGTCAACTCAGCCTTAAATGAGTACTTGGTGCGATGTGTAAACATCGTCGCTAGGGAGACAAAGGCGGCCGAGCGTGGTGCTGGCCACGCACCCCCTCGTGTGCCGTGCCGGCCTTCATAGGTGCTACTCGCTAACAGCACTTGCCCCCCCCCCCCCCCCCCCAACAGACTGTTAAAGGTTTATGCGATAAGAGGGAAATTTGTCTTTGATGTTGTTTCGCCAATGCGCCACTCTCCATGGTACACGCACGACCCGCAGTTTCCAATGCCGGGCATGATGCCGAAGATAAAGGCGCCGACCCTGCAATTGCTGGCTCACGACACTGCTGTCGGAAGGGCCTCCACTGGAAACAGCTGTATTCAAATACCATCTCGAGCGTATTTGGCCTGCTCTTCCACACTCGGCCAGACACATCCGCAGGCTATTTTTCGCGTGCCGTCGAAACTAGCGACCCGGGAAAATCTATACACCGAGATATGAATGCCTGATCAACACTGGGGCGATATTCCATCAACCCAATCCATTTACAGTTAGGGCTTTAATTTTGTGATGTGGTCAATCCACTGCTGGATGAGGGCCTCCCCGCGTTTTGCGGTCCGTGACGGGTACTTTGACTATACTTCACCATACTCTTAGTTCTTTCGGTAAAGTCACGTTGGTAAAAAATGAAATTAAAATTAATAAAAATAAAAATCACGACGTTTCGGAGGCAACACAAGTCTCCGTCATCAGGTGGGACCGTCACAGCTGTGCAAATCTGGCTGTGACGGTCCCACCTGATGACGGAGACCGAAAGAACTAAGAGTATGAATCCTTGCAGTCACGAAAGCTTCAAATCTAGAATTATACTTCACCACTCTGGTCAGTGCGGGTTGAAGGTCGATTTCGCCGCACAGCACTCTATGGATGGACACGTGACAGTCCCTTTAGTGAAGCCACTGCTGGATGAGGGCCTCCTCCCCTTACGCCTGTGGGGGTCGTGGAGTGTCATTCGACTCGAGGACACCACGCCCATGGTCAGCGTGGGTTTAGGTGAAGTGATCATTAAAAAAGGACCTCAATTACTCCTTACGAACGTCACTGCAAGCTAAAAAAAAGGTCAATGTATTATTAGACGCGCGAGTGTACGCAATGTTCACGTTACATGCGGGCACGGGATCCTACGAGTGACCATGAGTAATGGCTGCTGTACAAGGCCACTTTCAGTTTGTACACCGGCTTGAGAACTTACAGTATCATAATCTTAGAACAGCCATTCCTTGTGTAATGAGAGATGCAGAGGTCAAGCTATTTTCTTGATTTTTGTTAATGCCGTGCTGTGATGGTTGGCACGCTGGACTTGAAAATCCAGAGGTTGCCAGTATCGATTGGCACCTCCGGTTACCTCATTCATGTATACATTTCCCGGTGCGGCAGTTGCAATGACGTGTCTGTTTCTCAAATAACCCCCCCCCCTCCTTAGGGTTGCCACCCTTCCCAGAGACTAAACCCAGCCGTATATTTCAGTCAGCCAAGTTCAATCAAAACCCATTGTTCGAAACTGAATTCAATTCCTGAAGGTCTCCCAGCACGTGGAGCGAAATGTTAGACATCACGTGGCATGGCCCGAAAAACACACCGGACAGAATTGGCCAAGTAATTTGTGAAGCAACGGTGGCTTAAAATATGGACTGCAATTTACAAAGGCATTACATCAGCCCCTGTGGGACTGTGTAAATTCATCCTTTGTATTCATCAAACAGCCGCAGAGCTAAAAACGGTAACCCCTCCGAATGTTGTCCCTGGTGCACCCCATGTGACGCGCGACTTGGAGTATGCTTTCTGGTCGTGTCCAATGATAGAGGATCTACCAGATGGTAATTGGCTATTTTAACTCGACATGTTCAATGCCAATATTGCTCTTGGTTCTTTCGGTAAAGTCACGTAGCCGGCTGCTTGCGTTGTGGCCGAAACGTCGTGAGATTTGATTGTTTTATTTTTATTATTTTATTACTTCCCTTCTACGTGACTTTACCGAAAGAACCAAGATGAATCCCTGCAGTCACGAAAGCTTTAAATCGAAAAATAAAAGCCAATATTGCTGTTTATAGAAACGTCTCTTTGGTACGTCTCCCCTTCAGGGGAATCACATGCTCTAAGAACCATGCTTAAAATATACTCCATACAGCAAGCCACAAGCCTCAAGGGATGCAAGGCACATAACCCTCTCACCACCCATGACATTTTGGCCACCGCTGACTAGTACGTTCAACGTTGCTTTCCTAGCACAGTTAGGGTAAATAATCCTAAATAAATGCATCAATCTCAATACAATTTGGCAAACTTTCATCTCCTAGCAAGGGACATTATAAAATTTTGCCCACGAATTCATATCCAGGTCACCTGAAGGGACCTAAGTATTTGTGATGTCTACTGCCATGGGCTGTTGCATGAAAGGTTATACTTCAGAGATTTAAGAGATCCAAATGAATTAATCTCAAGCCACGATGCCATTTCATTCCTTTTGCCCTTTCCATTATGCAACGCTATATTCTGTAACGACTACAAATATTAGCTCAATTAAGATTGTGCTGTACGGAATATATTTTGGTCTTGAAATAAGGCACAGCCGACCTTCTTCCGCATGGCTGGGTCTTGGCAAGACATCCCACGTTACAGGCTTGGAATTTTAATGAGCCAATTGGGTAACGAGTTTGAATATTTTAACATGTTAAACATAGACATGTATAAACAAAATGTGTAATCAAATGTGGCGTACCGTCTCGTGTAACACACGGCCACAGTGGGTCTGGCTGCCGTGCACTGCATCAAAGCAGGCCTTTGTTTTAAAACCCCGCAACATTTGTTTCCCCCATTTAAACGAACCCATTTGTAATACATAATAACAAAACTCAACACATTCATCAACAACACTGCCCTAAAAGGAAAAAAATACGTCATAATGGCCATTTTTCATATAAATGATCTCTGATATAAAAACTATATCTGCTATTAGCAAAGAAGTCTCTCTGTTGTAAAGGGTCAGTGCCCAAACTGTTCTCTTATATATATTTCCTTCTAAGACGGTGTTATTCACAAATGCGTAGAGCTATCGTACATTTATTTTGCCAAGACTCAAAAATTACCCTCCTGGGCTATCCTCAAATCATGCAATGTCCGTAGATTTAAAACAAAGACTAATAATATAGAAGGCAAGTAATTTTTCAAGGAAATTTGTTTTCAGAAAATATGGCTAATTTGTAAAAATAAGTCATCATCCGAGCATGATAAGTAAGACTATGTCCAAGTATGTTCAACACCATGGTATTTGACGAGTATTTCTCCGTTATAAAGGTGGACAAAAATATTTCTACGTTAAGTAAAGTTCCAACTTGTTGACACGGTATTCCCAATTAAAAACGGTGACAACATAATTATACTATTCATTACCCACATCTTTAAAGTCTCTTATATTGTAGCAAAATGATATAAACAATCACACGTTTAAATGGCTTTTAATATGAAAACAAATTCACAAAATATAACTCAAATTATTCTCAATGCTATTCCAGGCTCCTATAATCAGCCAAATTAACAGTTTTCAACAAGTTTACAAAATATATATAACAATGGACAAATCCATGTACACTACTGGGCATTGGGCATGTAACAATACACTAATTCATCAATTAAAGTGTGATCTTATTCTCATAAGATTACACTTTAACACTTTAACACTGTGTCATGTTTGGTTGTTGTCCGGTCATGTCGGCAAACGTCACATCAACGTCTTGGCCAGCGCCACCGAGTGGTCGACCCCACACGCCACGTCCACCACCTCCCCTGCAACCGTTACCTACACATGACAGTTGCAACAGGGTTAAAACGATTTAAAGCTTTCGTGACTGCAGGGATTCATCTTCTTGGTTCTTTCGGTAAAGTCACGTAGAAGGGAAGTAATAAGATAATAAAAATAAAACATAATAAAATCATTCTCACGACGTTTCGGCCACAACGGGAGACAGCGTCCATTTAGACGCTGTCTCCCCGACAGACCTGGTCTTTACCTGAGGACGGCTGCTTGCGTTGTGGCCGAAACGTCGTGAGAATTATTTTATTATGTTTTATTTGTATTATTTTATCACTTCCCTTCTACGTGACTTTACCGAAAGAACCAAGAAGAGGGTTAAAACGATGACAGACGATCGATTCAGTCTCATAAATTCAGCTGTGGCACGGCCATTCACTCTAAAATCCCAATTGTTGGTGGTGGCTGCGGTGCACATGGTTAGTAATTCAGCACTGTGCAGGAAGCAGCAAGGGTTAGTGGATCACCGCACCAATGACAAAATGTTGCGCGACTCCCTTCCCGTGGGCGTCGAGGTGCAATTCTCTGGCTGGCCAGCAGAATGCAGTACAGCAAAGTGAATGCTGATATCATCTCTCTCTTGTAAACGGGATAGAGTGTTGTTCCTTCACGTGGCGGTTTCCTGCCACATGTATAAACACTCACCAATTGGCCGAAAACATTTATATATAGAGGACTGCAGAGCAACTGTTGACGCCGGCTCACCACCTGGCAACTGCATTCGAGCTTGTGGTTCCTCATCGATTGCGAGATGCTATTGGCATCAATGACGGCGCCATGTATAAAGCGTTAAGGTTATATCCTCTATTATGCCGAGCTCTTTTCTGCATTCTCTAGTTTCCACCCAAAACAGCATACACTCTTTAATCATATTAGCCAAACATCGCAATGCAAATCTCTCATGCATATGCATTGTAATAGCGCCGGCTGGTGACCAGCAGCGGCAACTGCGGTGGACAAACAGTACACACGCCGGTGAGCATGTACACGGGTGTGCTGGGAGGGCGGAGGAACTGGGGCAAGGGTCATGGAGGACCCCATCTGGAAGCCCCTGGAACCTGCTAGTGGGATCGAGAAGGGAGGCACGGCCAGGGCAGAGCCAGGCCGCGCTGGTACCATAAGAGGGGCCGAGAGCGTCATCTCGTCGCCATCGTCGCTGCCGTGTTCGCTCGTATTGCGCTGCTGGATAGCCCGTTAACTAACTCGGTCAGCGCCGTCGATGTTAGACGGCTAGTGTTGTGTATAGGCTAGCGACTGTGCAGGTGGGGATCGTGTGTGTTCAATAAAGAAGGTGCCTCTCCAAACCTCGTCTCCCGACTCACTGACACTACACATAAATTAATTACCCTAATTATTTGTAGTAGTATTTCATCAACAATATATAAAGTTTGCATAATTCAACATGTAACATAATGTGTTGAATGTTAAATAGTTATTGCTGATAAAAGGTCTGGACAATGCACAGAAATGTAACTTTTTTCCTCTGGTTTGATAGACACGAAGAGACAAATTCCTTTTGGTTCGGAACGCAAAGAATAGAACTTCAAATGAAAGCTTCTTCAGCGACGTACCCTCCAGGGGAAGTACTGGTCATCTGGCCGGCCAATTCCCAGGCACCCGCGCAGGTTCTTACCCCAGCTGAAAAGTTCACCGCGAGCTGAACAGGTGGAAATAAAACAACACATCGGGAAAGATAAATAGGCACATAAAATTTCAATAGACACCACGTATGCGCATGTGCTAATAAGCTTGTGTAACTATAAAAATTATAGAAAAACTATTTTCATTTTAGCAGGTAAGGCTCAGAGCTAGCTATACAGCTCTTTTTCAGAAGCGACCTGGCCATAAATGATCCCTCAACGTGGAAATGTATAGCTGCCAAATTCTCTTAACGAATGTTTTTAAATGTGGAGGAAAAAACCAGAGGACCCAGAGAAAATTCCATGTGACCACAGGGAGAGAGACATGCAAACTCCAAATATAGAAGCGTAGGGCTGGAATCGAACCCACAAACTCCTGTATACCAGGTGAGGTAGTTAACATCTCTCCACCACGACACCCTTGTGTAATAAGCTTGTATGCACAAGTGCTGGCTGGTCTACTTCAATAACATCGGCTGGTCTACTTCAAACAACAGCAGCAGTCGTCAGTGCTTTAGAAGCGTTGGAAACGTGAGCTGCTTCTTCAGTTTCTGAAGAAGTTCCCAGAACGTGGAGCGAAACGTCGGATAAATTGCCAAAGAACATGCGGTACAAACCCAAAAAAATATCACACAGCTAAGTATAAATTTATCTCCGAAACCCCCTAGCGATCACGTTTGTATTCAAGAATGACGTTTTTTTTGGAGCTGTAGTACAGTGATTCCGGTGACCTGAGTTGCATCCCCAGCTATGGCTAACATAAACGGTGAGGGATATCTGAACTGTTCCTGCGCCATGCTTTCAACAAACCCCACAGCGAGCAATGCGATTAAGTACGGTCAAACACAAGTCCCATGAATGACACGGTATGGGGAAGCCTTCCAATTCGGATATCACTCACCACCGATGTTCATCGTGGCCAGAAATCAAATTCGTGTTGTAGGGTTCATAGGACAGTGCGATAACCACTACGCTACTACAGTGAAACCTTGGATTGCGAGTAACTTGGTCTGCGAGTGTTTTGCAAGACGAGCAAAATTTTTTAATAAATATGAATTTGATAAACGAGCGAGGTCTTGCAATACGAGCAGTACGTGTATACGCTTTGTCTGCCGAGCGTCACGTGATCACAACTGATATACGAGTGCTTTGATATACGAGTGCTTTGGATTACAAAAACGTTTCCGGAACGAATTATGCTCGCTATCCAAGGTTTTACTGTACTCTCCAAAAATGTAAAACAAATGACTCCTGACCGCGTCACCCCCCCCCCCTCCCTTCCCTGGCCCCCACCCCACCCCGTACTATTCACGGCAGCAAAGTGGTGGAGTCCACAACGAAGCATCTTCACTCTGATGTCGGGGTCGAACTCGGTGCGTCCGAACAGAGAGGGTGGTATCTGCTCGGGAGTTTCCGTCTCCGAGAGCCGAGGCCCCTTCCCCAGGATCCCGTATCCCCACACGAACACCTCGCCCTCCTCTGATAGCGGTCACGGGAGAAACAAAGAGGGATCAGTGTTGGCGGCAAAATATGACTCGACGTGAGATGATACACCCACCTCCATCGTCCCCGCCTTTCAGTAAATTATCACGATCGACTAATGAATCCGTATGTAGGCAGAACGTAGGTGAAACAAAGCGGGGGGAAAAATATAAACCGATTTCTCACCGTTAAGGATTCCACAAATGGTGCCACCAGCAGCTGCCATTTTCACTTTCCCCACATTTTTAAACGGTATGCGTTTGGGAACATTTATCTGCGGAGACATTAACACACGTCAACGTAACAACTGCGCAGGATCAGGGCTTGAGTGTTGGGTGATTCTAGTTGGTAATGTGAGACAGCCAACTTGTCAAACATTTATGGCCAAATCACCAAAAACGCACCTGATCTCATCATATCTCAAAAGATAAGCAGAGTTAAGACTGGACAGCACATTGGATGGGTTACAACAACACATAACATAGGTATTGTAGGATGCTGTGGGGTTACGTCAGCAGAGGGCAGCGCAGCAAAATCTATTGCTGTATGATTATTATAAAGCTTCACCATCGACGCTTCCCACCTTAACCAAACTTCAATCACCAGCATGGTGAAATACGACCAAATAACTCCTCACTACCAGCACGGCGTGGGTAAGCCCTCATCCAGCAATGGATTGAGATAAAGAGCTGTACATCGTGCACACCTGCACCTCATCTTCCTGGTTCTTTCGGTAAAGTCACGTAGAAGGGAAGTAATAAAATAATAAAAAGAAAACATAATACAATAATTCTCACGACGTTTCGGCCACAACGCAAGCAGCCGTCCTCAGGTGAAAACCAGGTCTGTCGAGGCGACAGCGTCTGAATGAAACAGCACACGAGCTTGGAGCATATATATAAGCTGGGCTGGAAGGGGGGGGCGGAAGGGGCGTCTTGACACCTGCACCTCTTCAAAACGCCGTACCTGAACGGCATCTGTGATGGCAGCCAGCTGCCGGTATTCCGAGTTGCCCCAGCCAAACAGCTCGCCCGACTCACTGACTGCCAGGCAGAAGTCTCCGTACGACGCCACCTGGGCCACGGGCTCACCCGACAAGTCACCTCCGAGCCGTGTCGGAGTGCTGCATATCTCATAGCTGCCCAGACCTGTGGACGCAACACGTGACGACAACGTGGACCGCTCGACCTTACATTGTGAACGATGGGAAGATTTCATTGATCCATGTACGTCTTTAAAAGATTCCTCCTATAATACTCTTAGTTCTTTCGGTAAAGTCACGTAGGTAAAAAATGAAATAAAAATTAATAAAAGATAAATAAAAACAATAAAATCACGACGTTTCGGAGGCAACACAAGCTCCAAAACGTCGTGATTTTATTGTTTTTTATTTATTATTTATTTTAATTTCATTTTTTACCTATGTGACTTTACCGAAAGAACTAACAGTATGAATCCTTGCAGTCACGAAAGCTTCAAATCTAGAATCCTCCTATGTCAATTGTCTATTGTCCGTGTGTAGATTATCCAGGTTGTGGAGTCACAGTGCTTGAAAAAAAGAGTGTTTTTTCTAGGTATGGTGGTTTCATCATTTTCTGCTCCGCAATCTATTTACATTTTATTTTAGCAGGTATTGCCCACTGAGCTATATATACATTTTTAAGAAGTACCCTGGCCATCAGAAATGATAGCTCAACGAAGTGGCTTATCACTTCAACATTTATAGCAATCAAATACTCGACACTCATTGGGAGGTCACAGACTCGGTGCCCATGTAAACCGATTACTTTAAAAAGAACAGACAACACGTTGCACAACTTCACCCCCATAATATATTTATTTTTTTATAGCTCAACGTTTTGCATTTTGCGTGTTTTTGTGTGATGAGCACCACACTCCCCCCCCCACCATTTCCCCCAAGATACATTACATTCACATTTAGATCGCTTACGAACTCCAAATCCCTCCGAAAACTAAGATGCGCCTGAATGCTTGTTTGAGGTATTAAAAATAGAAATATGGAAACTTCATAAATGTGCCTTAGTGAATGATGCTCATTACGCATGGAATGATGAGGCAAACAATGTGAGCTTCAAACAAATAATTAGTCATTCATATAAATCATTCGTCTCATTTCATATATTATGTATGTACTTGAAATGTAAAACACTCATTATGCACTGTTGTGGCATATTCTTAAAAATTAAAGAAAAACATGACTTCCGTTTTGTATAACCACAGTAAAAAAATGTTTTAGTCTGTTAAACTATTGCTCTTCCTGCAGAATTTGTTTAAACAAGGAAAACCGGTCCAGTTTGTTTGCTTAAACAAATGTACATTTTATACGTAGGCTTTTGTGGCCAATATATTAACAATGCTGTTTTTGTTAAGTCGTGTGTGGATAGAAATCTATAGTTAATAATTGACATACCCACAGGGTCTAAGCAAAATAAACTAAATATGAATTATAAACAAATGTTGTTGTAAGGCCAATAAATTAACTTAAAAACATGTTCTTAATGTTTACACTTTCCATTCATTCTTCATATTAAATAATAATAAAAAAAATGTCACCATAACCTAATGATTTGTTGTTGAACTAATTCGAATTCTGTAATTTAATCTTAGATTCTTTTTTACGGAAGCTTGTTTTCTCGCTCTATACCGATGACCTCCTTCTCCACGTTATCCTGTTATGTAGTGAAATACGATACACGCAATCCATTCACACCGTATATTGTTACATGGCATTGTGTGTCAGCGTGACGAGAGGAACACTTTAACACGTAGGCTTTCGCGACCAATGTTATTCATAATCAACGTTTTTGGGTTTAGATCGCGTTATTTATAAATAACGCGATCTAAACCCAAAAACGTTGATTATGAGAGGAACACTGTTAGAGGACACTGCTCTGGCGTTTTCGCCCTTACCAGTCTGGCCATCTGCACCCCAGCCACACGCATACAGCTCGCCTTTCTCCGTGCGGAACAGGCTGTGGTCCTGCCCGCACACCACCTGCAATGCGGAAGTGTGTTATCAGAGATTGTCGAGCAGTGTGGCGGGCATACTGCTGCTGAGCAGTAGGGCTCTAGGCAACGCAAATAATAGACATGTAATGGTTCAACCAATCACCACCCTCCAGCGATTCATCCGAGAAATACGACTCCACAATGAGATATTTTTGTATATTTTTTAACATCTCATTTGTCACGTCTCCTATTCCCTACGTCTCGTTTGTAGCGTTTTGCTCACTCCACCAGCCTGAATGGAATATTGATGTTTTTTGTCTAGTTGTTTTTGACCAATAGTAGCAAATGAAGAGGGTGTGATCCCAAAAAAACGAAAAACTTTTCGTTTGCGTATTGAGTGGCACTCTACTGCAAGGGTAGACTCGGCGCTGAAAAAAGATTGTGACAGCGTTTCACTTGTGTCTTACCTCCACGACCTTCCCTTCTATGCCCTCAATTTTATGAATTAATCTGCTGCCCCTGTAATGAAAGAAAAGGAAACGACAATACCATGCTTAAGCATGTATCAACATCATGCTGAAGAATGTACAGTATCAACATCAAGCTAAAGCATGTATCAATATTCACAACCATATAATTTCAAACATGTCATAAATTATTTAACGTCACAATATTACAATTTTCAGCGTTACACATGAATTTGATGATTAGAATAATACTTAAAAGTGAATGCAATCGCATATTATTCAATAAAGTACTTACTTATAAACTTCATCCTCAATAATTGTTCTCCCGCACTGGCCATAAGCATTGTTTCCCATGCTGAAGACTGCAGAAAAAATATATTATGTAAATAAGTAATCACATTTATTTTACCGCGACAAAATATGCATTAATTCTATATCATTACTCATGATTCTATATCAAGAATATCACTTTGTGGGAAGTGTCATGTGGATAGAATGACCCCTGGCATACTGATGTGGAATTTCCACCACTCATTCAGGGTTCGCAAGGTCAATTTGCATTACCCCATTCTCACTTGATGAGAGAGAAGATCTCGGTATACAATACTGTTCACGTCACTGCTGGTGGAAGAGCTTCTACTCGAGGGAGCTCTAGAAAGCCCCTTAAATCTTATCCTTCCACACTCGCTTGGTGTGATTAACTACACTACCCCACCACACGGGATATGCTGATCGACCGACTGTGGCATACCCATTTGTATCACTGGGGTACTTAAGAATCGTTTCCGTTGATGCAACTACCGCGCTGGGAGATCGAATCGATCCAACGATATCTGCATTACAAATCCACGGCAGCATCACCCAATCAAATAATGTCTTATTTTAAAGCACACGATTTCTATAATTACGTGCCCCCCCCGCCTCGTCCCGTTGGCACCTCCTTCGTTGTCGGTGAGGACCAGGGAGTGCGCTCTTCCGCATGCCACCTGCAAGACGCGCGTCTGCTGATGCTTCATCAGCGGAAGCGGTACCGGCGATGGCTCGAGGATGTAATCGTAACTCTTCGCTGTAAAAAGTTAAAAAGAGTAAATGTAGAAACGCATTAAACCTTCTTAGAAAGCATAAAAAATGTGAGTGCGTTCACGGCTGCTGTCATTGCACGTAAGAGAGCAGGAAAACTGTCATTTATTTTGTTGACAATCAACCATTATAATTATCTATGACATTTAAATTATAAATATATATTTTCCTAACCTTGGTAATTACAAAACTAATCCTCATTCTAACCTTAACCTAATAGGTCAATGATAGACCTATGACCTTGAGATTATAAAAAGTATATTTTGATAAGTTTGGCCATTACAACATTCTGCCTCTAGTAATTCACCGGTAGATCACAAATGAGAAAACCGATTAACTCACTTCTGTCACTCCGGCTCCTGTGAAAGCCGATCTGTGAGTCTATGTTCAACCCTGCACCCCAAAGCTTGGTAAGGTCCTTGGTTTTGGAGGCCAGGAGAGTGAATCCATAACCACATGCTGCCGAGATGATCTGTTTTTCACAACGGGTTTTAGGAAACATTCACGTGGAGGTTACTGTTTGGTAAAAAAAAATGTGTTTTCGAGTTGCACCGCATATTATTCGGCATGATTTCCACAGTTTCGCTCCACGTGCGGGGAGTTTATTATATTGTCTACAGTTTCTAAAGTAGCTCCCAAAACCTGGAATGAAACGTCGCACATCGTGCCGAAAATAGCAACGGAGAGCTAAATATAAGTTGCATTGACACATTCAATGACAAGAGCATGCACGACTGCCGTTCTTTGCAATTACATTTACGAAAACATCAGTAATTGATGCCACTGAGTACAAAGTAAGCATATGTAATGAGTAACATTGCAGGAGACACAATTAGGTCCAGGATATTTATAATAATTAAGGTACATTTTTTTACATATAAATTTAAAGAACCTGCCCTTTGGCAGATAACTCGAGAAGATGAGTGATGTGTAATCATCAGAATGTGCTGCGATTCGGTGCCAACCATCGCCGTACCTTGTCATCCGTTTCCAGCCGGTGCGGCGTGAACTGTATCTTCCGGGGCTTGTGCCTCGTCGACACGGGCGACACGAAATTTGGGATGCCCAGGGCGCCCGTGTAGGTGAAGCCCCATACAAACACACGACCCTTGGGCTTGGCGTTGCGTCCCACGTACTTCGTCGCCTGTCGGGACCTCCTGTTTGGCATCTCCAACTGCCATCCGGGAGTGCAACCCGGCCGCCACTGGTCGCAATGAAGCTCGCAGGACCACTGGACAAACGCATCGTCACGGCCCAGACTGCTTATTGCTGCGACAGCTTACGAGTGGGAACACATCCACAGCGAACAAATCAGAAGCCTCGCTACCGAAGACAGTTGTCTGTTGTGGCAGTTTAGAGTAATGCCAACTCACAACTATTGGCAGCTTACAGCGGAGGCAGATCACGAGTGAGAAGGTTCGTCGGAGATTACTGCTCTCAGCTCACGGGAGTCTTGGCTCCGTTGTCCGTTTATGCGACAGCAGTAATTCTGGACAGAAAACGGAAAGATGAAGTTATTAGCGCACGGCAGTGTGGAAGGGACAGAGCCACGTGGTTCTATAAAAAAACTGTTGTGGTTAGTGTAGCCACCTAAAGGGCCGTCCATAAATGACGTCACGCGATTTTGGACGATTTTTGACCCCCCCCCCCCCTTGTCACACGGCGTCACAAAAAGTCAGACCCCCCCCCTTCAAATATGACGTCACAAAGCTCTGCCCCTCCCAAATAAAACATGCTTCAAATCGCTTTAAACTATTGTCATTGTCGTGCGTATTTAATGTGGCACTGCACTCTGATGTTGTAGGAGAAAACATTTATTAAACAGTATATTTAATTAAGGAGAACGTGTCTAAATTTATTTAAAGTTGCGCATTTTGATGTGACGTCATATTTCTCAAACCCTACCCCCCTCGTCACACATCGTCACAAATGTCTGACCACCCCCCCCCCAGGTGCTTGACGTCATTTATGGACGGCTCCCTAATCAATAAAATAAGACATTTGCCAACTGTAGCTTCAACAGCCACTTCGTACACATCTGCGTACCGAACACGCATTGATGCAGTGAAATCGTATCTGTAGTTGGTGTCGGTATTGACTTAACTGCTCGTGTTTATTTTTAATTACGGACGTACGTAATTTAGTCATTGTTTACAAATGCAATAGGATCGTCATTCCTAAAATATATAGACTGCAGGACATTTTCCAAGTCTTCTAGCAATGTCAATTGAGACTTTTCCGAATGTCAAACCATTTCTGGATGCTCTCCTTACGCCAGATTGGTTACGGGGGTTCGTTTGAACATTTCTCATCACACTCAGGCAGTGCACATTGAAGGGAGAGAGGCCTCAAGACCAGGTCAGATAACAATTAGACACTCGTCTTAAGCCGTGGCCGCGAATAAAAACGCACGTGGTTGGCTTCATAGCGCAGTGAGATACCACTGAACCCGCGTGCAATGTTATCCTTAGCTTAAGTCCACCGTCAACATCATAACACGAGAGAGTGGGTGTAGTGTAACCGTGACAAGATTGCAAAGATCGTTCGCAATTGACAGAACCACTAACCAGGACGCACGCTCACTCGTGGGCGCTGACATCTTTGTTTTGCTCCAAAATCTCGCGAGATCTCGCGCTAATCTCGCGAGATCTCGGCGGTTGAAGAAGGTGGGGGGGGAGGGGGATGTGCGAGAAGGAATCCAGAGGGGAAATCCTCTGATATGAAAACAGCTTTCACATGGGGGATTGCAAAAACAAAAATACCCCCAACACAAACTCTTTTGTTCTTTCGGTAAAGTCACTTAGGTAACACATTCCTGCGGAGGGAGCTGGTAGGAACGTTGAGTTGCTCGGTCAATGGCCTGCAGGGTCAACGGCGGCGTGGTGTATTCCGCAAATATGCCGACTGTGAGGGCGGGCACAAGCCGGCGTGAGTAGGTTAAGCGTTGAGTTTTATAAGGGCACCACGGGGTGACCAGCCCCACCCAGCCCCACCCCTCCCACCCAACCCCTCCCCACCCAGCCCCTCCCCACCCTCCCCTCTCCACCCAGCCCCACCCCTCCCATTTTTGGATTCACGACGGACGGACGGACACAATAATCCCCTGTGGGCTGGTGGAAGCCAGGTGGTTCCTACCAGTATTATCGTTGAAACTGATTGGTCCACACCAGAGACAGCTTTCTTTAGAGCCTAGTCTCAAACAGGCTTAGTATGTGTGGTTAACGCAGACATGATTCCTTGCAAAAGGTCTCAGTTTGGTGTTTTAAAATCTTAACACGCCTGTTTTATTGACAGAAAGGGTAAAACCAATTCTTATTTTAACTCAACAATGTGGTTACTAGCATATGGAATCGATTCCGCATTGGAATCGTTACCACTTTGTTTACGATGAACTCGCGTTGTAAACACATTGGATTCGATTTTCTCATCGAATCGTTATCTCTTTAGCCAACCTTCGATTCCCAATTGTACCCTACACGTTAAATGCATTAATCGATTCCTCGATGTAATCGGCTTCGCGCTCAGCTGAAATATATCCCGCATGCGCTGCGTTCTAAAAAGGAACGCCTTCACAAAGATAATCACTTATCCTTTTACTTAATCCTGCGCACACGTTACAATTGATTCTCATTTCGTTTCACACTCGCTCATCGATTCAATAGTCACCGCACCGTTCAAATTTGTTAATCGATTTCGGGAATCGAACGTTAAAGGAATCGGAATCGCCATCTTCATCCGCGCCGCTCTCTCTCTCCACGGGAACAATGGCGCTTAGTCGGACGTACGGGCCCAAACCCATTAAGTTCCAACTCGAGGATGCCGGAGAATGGTTCATGATCGGCTCCGAGGTGAGGGAGCAGACGTACACAATATACATTTCACCCCCGATCGGATCGAGGGAGATACGTGCACATTTGACCGAGATACAACTGGCTCGGACTCCGGCCTCGTCTGAATGGGCCCGCCGAGGTTCGGGACGGGTTTCCCCGCGGGGGTGACCAGGCAAGCTCGGAGGATGAGCCTGTTATCGCTAGGCCGCAGCCATTATTTTCATTGTCATTTGTGTATGGGTTTTTTTTATCGTACGTATGGTAACTACATTTAATTGTAATGTAGAGCCTGGCTCCTTTGTTATTCCACTGCTGAATAAATACTTCCCCCGCCGTCAGTGTTGGCGGTTTTTGACCATACTTCACCACGCTGGTCATTGCGAGTTGAAGGGGGGGGGAGAGGCCCAGGTCAGGTTTTTGTTTACCAGAGAGAAAATGTTAGATACATTTTTTGTGTTATTAAATCGTTCATTCGTCTGTCTGTTTGCAGGTGGGGAATTACCTGCGCATGTTCAGGGGCTCCCTGTACAAAAAGTACCCTTCGCTATGGCGCCGCTTGGCCACAATGGACGAGCGCAAGAAGATTGTCGCCTCGTCGCACGGTGAGGCGACGGGCCGTTGGGAATGGGGACAGTGCAGGGGCAAGGCGAGGACGTCAGACGAGAGATGTGAGAATTGGCACATTGCAGGGGCAAGGGGGGAGGGCGTCAGACGAAATCTGTGGGAATGGGGACATTGCAGGAGCAAGGGAGGGCGTCAGACGAAATATGTGGGAATGGGCACATTGTAGTGGCAAGGGGAGGACGTCAGACGAGAGATGTGAGAATTGGCACATTGCAGGGGCAAGGGGGGCGTCAAACAAAGATGTGGGAATGGGGACATTGCAGGGGCAAGGCGAGGGCGTCAGACGAAATATGTGGGAATGGGGACATTGCAGGGGCAAGGGGGGGCGTCAGACGAAATATGTGGGAATGGGGACATTGCAGGGGCAAGCGGAGGGCGTCAGACGAGAGATGTGGGAATGGGGACATTGCAGGGGCAAGGGGGGGCGTCAGACGAGAGATGTGGGAATGGGGACATTGCAGTGGCAAGGGGGGCGTCAAACAAAAGATGTGGGAATGGGGACATTGCACGGGCAAGGGGGGGCGTCAGACGAAATATGTGGGAATGGGGACATTGCAGGAGCAAGGGCAGTCCGTCAGACGAAAGATGTGGGAATGGGCACATTGCAGGGGCAAGGGGGGGCATCAGACGAAAGATGTGGGAATGGGCACATTGCAGGAGCAAGGGAGGGCGTCAGACGAGAGATGTGAGAATGGGCACATTGCAGGGGCAAGGGAGGGCGTCAAACAAAAGATGTGGGAATGGGGACATTGCAGGGGCAAGGATAGTATGGTTGCATGATTATGAGCCCAGGACATGTATGTCAATACTGTATGTTGAACTTCTTTCGCACCGTACATAGCCAACCCTGCTAATCGGAGGTGCATCTGGCTAGGAAGTCGGATGACAGATGTGAAAAGTTAAGAATGTAAATGGGGGCAATGGAGGGAATGATGAAGAGATGTAGACAGACACTGCGATGGCAGGATGAGATTATTAGCAGATGTGAAGGTGCGCACTGGATGTGGGCGACAATTAAATTCGAGTCCAAATTTTCCCCCAAAACCTATAGATGAGCTCAACAGTGTTATCCTTGCTTTCTAACAAGTTTAACCCTAACAGTTCTGATGATTCCTTGCTAAAGGTTTCTGTTTGGTGTTTTAACGTCTTAACACCTGTTTTATTGCCAGAAAGGGTAAAACCTATTCTTATAGTCCTGATAAATGTTATCATCAGGGGGAGAGCTAAGATTTTATAATTTGCAACCTAATTCCATGGTGCCACCATGTTTTGTTGTGTCAAAATTCATAATGGAGATGTTTTGACGAATAAACAAATATCCCACGTGCTTGACATTTGTTGATGTTTTGTACAGACCATGGCTACACAACCCTGGCCACCAGTGTGACATTGCTCAAGGCCTGCGAGGTGGAGGAGATCCTGGAAGGCAATGATGACAAATACAAAGCAGTCTCCATTAGCACCGAGCCACCTGCCTACCTTCGGTGAGCTGTGAGAAGATGCAAAACCAAATTTTTAAATGCATTAAGAGAATAAACTCGTGAAGAAATTGTGGCCAGCTATAGTTTTTTCCCCTGACTTGTGTCAGTTCAGCTTCTCAATTTAATTAACTATCCTAGTTTTTTTCTCCTACACTGGCTGCCTTGCAGTTGAGACAGCCTTATGTCTGATATGCTTACGTACAACATAATACATTTGTCTGCGGGGCAGCACTCATTTTTGGAGTGTAGAGGAAAGCAAGGACACATTTTATCCGGAAAAGAGCCTGGCAGTTTTAGCATTGATGTGTTATGTACAAACTATAAGGTGATGAAAACATTTGAACTATGTTAATGGTGAGTTGTACGCCGCTGAATGGATAGAGCGCAGCACTATACCTAATGTAAAAAAAGTTATTCGGTGCTTGAGGAACAAAGCCTACAAAGCCTTCAGTCACTTTTGCAATTGTAATTTATTTCAAATAAAATCACTCCATCCATCGGACAGCTTGGTACCAACTTGTTTAGCTTCTTGCACCGGATGTTTAGCTGGTTCTTTAATGAATGACTCTTCGGCACTTTTCAGAGAACAGAAGCCAAAGCGGCCGAACCAGTGGGTGCCAGCAATGCCCAACAGCTCTCACCATCTCGACGCAGTGCCTTGCTCCACGCCCATTAACCGCAACCGCATGGGCCGCGACAAAAAACGCACTTTCCCGCTCTGGTACGTTGTCCATCAAGAGTACCTTTCAAACGTGCATGCACACGGTTACATTGTGGTGTAACTGGTGCTAACTGTCAAGAGAGGTAAGTGTAAATAGAAGGGTATTTTAGGTAGGAGTTATGTTTGTATTACAGCATGGATCAGAGAGTGAGAGACTAAGCAGTTTGAAAGATGTGAGCATTTGCGCACAGGTTTCTTAGATAATGCAAATAATTTCACGCCAAGATCTGATAAGCAATGTGTAAGTTTGAAAGGTAACACGGCATGTAATTGTTGTAGACATAAGTAAAAAACACATTTGCACTGGATAGCACAGGTGTGGAGGATGGCTGGCGACCGAGACAGGCGTTGGAATGGTCCCCACATGTCTGGTGACCAAGGAAGAATGCCTCGGAGCAGATGGTGGGATACTGTTGGGGCATATCAATGAAGGTCATGGGTCTACAGTGCAGCGTTTGTGGGATCTGAGAGATTGCAAGTGTTGGCTTTGACATCTTGAACTTTGAATTACAAAGAAAGTGCAATTACAAAACTACATGTGCATTGTACATTTTGTGTGACAGTTTCGATGACCACGACCCGGCAGTGATTCATGAGAACGCGATGCAGTCCGAAATTCTGGTGCCCATTCGTCTGGACATGGAGATCGATGGACAGAAGCTCAGAGACACTTTTACGTGGAATATGCATGGTGAGAACTCTTTTTTACGACTCAAACCATGATATTGGGGCTGAATACATTGAATATGTCTCTTGTGTAATGTTGTCCAACAAAGAAAGTATAAATATGATTGTACAATTTGCATCATTATATAACACTATTGTGACTCTTAAGTGCACTTTAGACAGCTAACATGCATCATTGTCAGATGAAACATACTGTGGTATGTATGTGACATTTTTTTCGCACCGTACGTAGCCAACCGTGCTATAATCGGAAGTGCGGGGGAAGGACAACAAACTAAACACAAAACGCAGTTCGTAATAAATTAGTTTTCAA